TCAGGGCAAGTGTTGGTGGACAGCAAAAAATCCCCTTGAACTGCCGTCCCCTGGGCTTCCAAGGGCTATCATGGAGTTGTTTTATAAGCCTTTTGCATGGACATGTCCAAAATATTGACTGGAGAGAGAGGAGGGACTATTACTGAGCAATTTTCTTTCACATGCTCCCATCTCCCCTCAGCTGTGTGTTTGGCAGGGATCCCATAGAAATGGCTGTGGAAGCTATCAATATTGCTTTGATGTAGGCATCCTCCATTTTTATAATCTCCAAATTTCAATAAAACTGTCTCTTTCTACTTCCACAGATGGCAGAAGGAATAGACAGCAGAATATGCCTCCTACAGATAACAAGCCAGTTTTTTGTTTTGTTTTGTTTTTCAGTATGTGCCAAAATCCAGCAGGGGCTCTTCATTATCATTTAAATTTGATAATGACAGATCAGAATGATCAAGGAAGTGCATTGAACACTAGACAATATTTTTTCATGAGAATAAAAACATAAGCCTGCAACTTTTGGAAGGTTAAATTTTGAAAGGGTCTCCTTCTTCAATTACATTTTTTATTTCCAAATGACCCATTAGTTCACTTATTTAAAAAAAAAAAAATATTGAGTGCCACATAATACCAGACACTAGATAGAAAATAGAGATTTAGGATGCAGAGGGCAAAGGATAAGAAGTAGATCTGATTCATTTATTTTTTTTCCATATACAATTTTTACTTGAAATGCCTTTGGGACAATGCCACTCTGGGGTGGGAAACGGGGAATTATGAGAAACACAATCGGCAGGTCTCTCCATGCATGGCTGTCTCTCGCTTCCCCTCCCTTTGTCCATACTCACTAAATGACACTTAATATTCTGAGGATAAGGAAATAATCTTGAATCCTCTTATCCGCGAAAGTTGGCTGCTGGTCTTCCTCTGCCTCTAGCTGAGTCTGCATCTGAGGAAAGGCATGTACTTGGGTCCAGCCCTCAAAGGACTCACAAAATCTTCAGAATGAACTCCAGAAGGAAGGACATCCCAGTCTCACAGTGTGGTACCCAGACAGCCTCAGCCTCCCATTTAAAAATTCCCTTCCATCCAATGCTTCATCTTCCCTTCCAAATGTTAAGAAAATATTACGATCAAGAGATTGAAAGGACATTTTTACTGCTTATTGATTATTTACAACCTTCCTTCAACACTTTCTTTTTTTTTTTTTTTTTTTTTTTTGTACCGGGGGTTGAACTCAGGGGTGCTCAACCACTGAGCCACATCCCCAGCCCTTTTCATTTTTTATTTTAAAATAGGATATCACTGGGGCTGGAGTTATGGCTCAGCAATAGAGCGCTCGTCTAACACATGCAAGGCCCTGGGTTCGATCCTCAGCACCACATTAAAAAATAAATAAATAAATAAAACAAAGCTATTGTGTCTAACTACTAAAAAATAAATATTAAAAAAAAAAAAAAGAGTCTCACTAAGTTGATTAGGGCCTAGATAAGTTGCTGAGGCTGGCCTTGAACTTGCATTCCTCCTTCCCAACCATCACGCCCTGCTCCCTCTTTGAGAGGCTGGGGTTGTGGCTCAGGGGTAGAGTGCTAGCTTAACATACATGAAGCACTGGGTTCAATCCCCAGCACCACATAAAAATAAATAAAGTAAAAGTATTGTGTCCATCTACAAAAAAAAATTAAGAAAGAAAGAAAAGGAATTTGAGATGGCTTAAAATAAAAATCATGTCATATGACTTTTGAAATAGAGTAAACATGAAGAAGTAGGAGAAGCTTCTGTTATAGTCTAGGTTTTTTTCTTTCACAGATAGAAGCCACACAAAATCTTAAAACATTAAGGAAGGCACAGTAAGCTCTCATGTTGCAGAGCTACTTCTTTTTGTTTCTTTGTTTTGGGTTTTGGTACTGGGGATTGAACTCAAGGGTGCTTTAACACTGAGCTACATCCCCAGTACTTTTTATCTTTTACTTTGACACAGAGTCTTGCTAAGTTATTGAGGCTGCCTTTAAACTTGGGATCCTCCTGCCTCAGCCTCCTGAGTCACTGGAATTACAGGTATTCGTCACCATGCCTGGCTAGAGCTTCCTTCTTAAAATCCTGGTTTTGTACCTTGAGTTGAGATTGCCTGTGTGCCAGGGTTCACTCTGAGCCAGGCATTCCCCGTATTTAATGCTTGTGTACTATAGAGGATGCTGGGCCCACCGGACCTATCCCCCCAAAAAAGACTCACAGTAACCCCTCCCTAAATCTAAGGAAACAAAGATTTGAAGAAGTGAAATAGCTCACTCGAGATCACATAATGAGTGGCAGGAAGAATCTTAATCCAGCTCTGGTGCTTTGAAGAGTTGATTGAATTTCATTCGTGGATCATGAATCAATTTAGTGACTTGTGATCTCTTTTCAAGTGAATAAGATAGAATAATAGCTGGGCATGGTGGCACATGCCTATAATCCCAGGGACTCAAGAGGCTGAGGCAGGAGGATCTCAAGTTGAAAGCCAGCCTCAGCAACTTAGCAAGGCCCCAAGTAACTAATAGAGACTCTGTCTCTAAATAAAATATTTAAAAAACGGTTGGGGATGTGGCTGAATTCAATCCCTAGTATCAATTATTATTATTATTATTATTATTATTATTATTATTATTATTATTATTATTATTTTCAGAGTTCATCACAGACAGTAAAAGGTTAAGTAATATTTCAAGAAATTCTGTTTTCATTGTGTAAGTATATTGGGGGCGTGTGGAATGTGCAGGAGCATGGGTGTGATGGGTGTATGCAGAGGTGTCTAGAGGTATATGGAGGGAAAGAAACGTGGGTGTGTTTGGGTATGTACATAGATGTAGATGGATGTGTGAGTGAGGGGTTAGTGTGTGTAAAATTTATTTCTGTGAGTTACTGTCTTAAAAAATTTCAAAGCTACCACACTAAGATATAGCAAATCTCATTTATTCACATTCCAAGTGTAAGAAGATGACTAAGTTTTAGAAATCTGCCTTCTATAGAAATTTTTACAAACAAAAAATTAAGAGATGTTAAGGTCTGTGGCTCAGTTGGCCTCCCCCATGTGAACATGTTTACCAGGCCAACCTCCAGAGCCACACAGCGAAGAAACTCTTCCTAAAATAGTCACGACTTGACTGGCCTTGTGCCTGGTTGCTGAGACTAAATCATTCATCTGCAACTGCAGCAAGCACAGAGAAAATATTTTGCTTTTATACAAACAAAAGGTAGGAGGCAGGAGATCATGCTAGGGCCATGCTGCAGGTTAGCCTCCTCTAGCAGGAAGGCCCAGAAGATGCAGCAGCAGATACTTGAGAGACTGAACAATGACATTCAGGTGCCCCCTGAGGACGGCCAGCGGCTCTGTTTTTATGCACTTGCTGAATCTCCAGGGTCATCTGGTCTAAACCACTAAAGCTCAAATAATCCACTCATCCTCTCTAATGATGTCACTGAAGGCTTAACATACATTTGCTATTCAGATAGAGCTTTAGTGCCCAAACCTGCTCCTGCCCTTTACCAAATGCATCATTTGTCAAACCAGGAGGGCCAGCAGCTTTCCCTACATTAGGAGAGTCTACGGAGTCTGGAAGAAGATGCCTGGCCTCAAGGCAGCATTTGCTAGAGGGCCCAAGCCCCACAAGGGCATTTTCCCCAAGAACCAGAATAGAAGTGCCTTTATGTTACCCAGTTTGTCTTCTCTCATTGTTACATAGAGGTCATCACACCCTTAGGCACAGTCGCCATTGACATGCAATAAAATAATTAGAAAGACCCAGGATACAAAGTAGATGCTCCATGAAAGTCTGTTCTCTATCTTTGGTATGTTAAGAAAGCTTCATTCCCTGAACCAGCCCGAAGAAACTCCTGGTCACCCTGCTGGCCTTCAGTGGCGTGGCTGGGAACGCTTTGCCAACATCTGTCCGGCTCCCTTCAGTGAGTCCTCAGGAACTATGACCATTCCTCTCCACCTTCTCCCTACATCAACTTCTGTGAAATTTCAACTTGAATACCTTTCTCAGAAAAAAAAAAAAAAAACACACAGACTTCTATGATTTTATAAAGTCCATTTACAAAGAACATGTCTCTTTATTTTCTGGAAAATACTCTCTTACAATTGAAAGAATGTCTCGTACATCTAAATTTCTGAAATGTTTTGTCCATCCTTTCCATAGATACAATACTTGTGTAAGTGTTCATCGTATTTCCTTCTTGTACTCTTTTACTCAACCTAGAATGTGTGCAGTTCTCCTTGTTCTTATGTTCCCTGCATAGAAGATGATTTTTAAGTCGTCTTCATAGAGGGCTTGTGCTTTTTGGAATGAAGTTTTCAGACTTGATTGGTATCCTCTGAGCCCAATGGGTTAAGAGGAGGTAGACCTTCCCTGTGTCACTTTCTAGGTGAATGACAGGCAAAATGTTCAACTTCCCTTATCCTAAAACATGAAGAATAACACCACCCACCCTTAGACTGAAAGAAGGATTAACAAAGTGCTTAGTTAAGTACTGTGCCATGTGCCTGGTGCACAGTAAACTCAATAAGTGTTAGATATAATTTTAATAGGGTGCAGGATTTCTCCCTCATACTCCAACAGTTCTTTTGCATATGTCTACTTTTTAATCACAATTCACCTCAGATCCTTCCATCTATCTGTTCAATCCTACTCACTCACGGTTTTGCCTTTTTGCTTCCAACTGTGGACCACTCCTTGATTTCAAGCAGAAGTCAGACAATACCTTTGGCTCTGGCTAAAATCACTCAGCTGAAATGCGAAAATTCAAAATGAACCTTGTTCCCGTTCTCGGGATAGTGTGTGTTACCTCCGGGTGGGTCATCGTCAGTTAAACTGGTGTCACTCAGGATGCCACAGCAGCGGCTACCAAGAAGAGCGGACAGAGGCAACTTGAGCTTCTTTTAAAAAGTCAACGGGACAGAAAGGGCTCGGCCGTGGTCACACTTGGTTCTCTTACACGAGATTTCTGTCCCCCCTTTCACATAGACTTCGCACTGACTCAAGGCAGTACAATCCCTCCTTTGTGCCAAAAAGGGTATTTTCCCTGTGGGAATCTGACCAAGTGCTTGCCCCGGGCTTTTCACTGTGACGGTGTGGACGACTGTGGCAACGGCGCAGATGAGGAGAACTGCGGTGAGTAGTCCCATGTCGAGTCCACTCCCCCATCCCCACCACCCCCACACACCCCACACACACCCCCACCCCGCCACCACACACCCCTACACACCCCCACCTCCATCCCCCTCCCCCAGATCCCCCCACAGCACACGTGCCTTCCTGCTGAGCCCCCGAACTGTGGCCAGCTGGACAGTGATCTGCAGAGACCTGGCAGAGATGATTTGGTGTTCCCTAAGCAAACTCTTTTTAATGCAAATACTCCCCAATTTGTGGTAACGACTTGTATTTTCATATGGAGAACTTGCTTGAATGAGATACACAGGATTATGAAATGTTATATTTTGTGAAAATCGAAACTGCATTTTAAAAATCTACTTGAGTACTCATTTTAATTTTAAGGAATCCTATGACTGTCACCTCCTATGGCTGGTCATTTGAATCAGCTGTGAGACTACCCATAAGATGTGAATGAAGTCACCTAGAGAATTAATTGACTGAACAGACCTATATTGAGTGTCGACAATGTGCCCGGGGCTTTCCAATCATTGGGACCAGTTAGCTCAAGGAAGACAAGCGTCTTGACCTTGTCAAGGTCAATATGAACATGGATAGTGTGAACTAAGAAGATAATAAACCTGAATTAATGACTTAAATACTCAGACTGATATGAGCCATGAAGAAAATAAAACAGCACAATGAGATGGAAGTGACTTGGAGGGAAGAACACTTTAAAGATATAAGCAGAGAAAATCTTTTTAAGAGGGTGACGTTTGAACTGAAAACTAAACGAAACAAAAGAAAGAAGTCACAAAACATTCTGGAGGATATAGAATTCCAGGCAAAGGAAATAGCCAGTCCAAAGGCCCTGAGGTTGAACAAAATAAAATGACAGGTTTGAGGAATAGAAAAGCCAGGGTGGTATAAGCAGACTAGATAAGGATATGCATAGGGGATGAAGAGGCACACAGCAGCCAGATCACATTGGATCATACAGGCCAATGTTAGGTCTATATATTTGCCAATTTAACATTGTCCAAATTAACATTTATTTTTCTGTGTAGGGAAGTGATATAGAGTCTGCAATGTCTAGTTAGTCCCACAGTAGACACAGACCTGCGGAATCTGCAGGAATCCTGTGTGTGTTCTGCCATAGAAGGCCCAACCAACAATCAAAGTAGGGCAGCAGAGCCCAGGAGTGCCAGCTGTCTGTCTGTCATCCACCCTCCTGCCGGGGTTACTCACGCATCTTCCCTTTTTCCCACCTTCCTACTTCTCCTCTAAGACTCATTCAGGAGTCCCCTCCCCTGAGAGGGGACACACTAAGTTGGCCCCAGTGAAGCTTCTCTCACTCTCGAATGGGTGCAGTTTCTCTCTCTTGCTAGAGCCCCCTGGGCTTATCTCTACAAACACTGAAGTGACCTGTCTTATCTTTTCACCTGTTTCTCTTTCTAGACATAAACACCTTGGGAAGAGGCCCATGTCTCACTTGTTTTGCTGTCCTCAGAGCCTAGAATAGTAGAGGACACAGTAGGAACTTAATCACGCGCTCAGTTTTGGAGGCAGCTCTCTGGATGCCAATGAGCAAGTCACTCAAAGAGATCTCCAGTTTGCTGCATGAGAATCAGGGACATGGTATTTATCTCCCTCATGAGAATGTTCTGAGGTCAAATTAAATAATGCCTCTGAAGGTGCTTATAACACAATTGAAGGCATCATAGTGGAATCACAGAGGATATTAATCAGAAGCAGAACTAAATTAAAGATTGCAGGGATCAAGGAAGTCTGTTGGCAATTACTTAAATTTGCTTTTTGATTTGTGTAAACTTAAGCATCATACATTATAATGCAGATCTTATCATTTACATAGCATGTGCTCAAGTAATGATGCTTCAAAATTAATTCTCCTTTTTGTAAAAAAAATGTGATTTTATCACTAAAAAAGGATACTTGGCAAATAAACAGTTCGTATGAACATATGAAGATTGACGCTTATTCATGGCAAATTGAGTAAATACTTTTTTCAACAGGACTTTATTAATTTATTAATTTAATTAATTTACCCTTTATTAATGAGCACTTTGGTTTTGCTTTTTGCTAAAGGTCATTTAGTTGAGGGCTAGCCCAGGGATAGAGCATGTGCTTAGCATACCCAAGGCCCTGGGTCCAATCCTTAGCAACAAAACAAAATAAAATTTTAAAAGTTCAGATGATGTAAATTTTGCAGAATCTACCATATCTATCAAGCATGAGTCTACATAAACCTGGGGCAGTATACATATATGACAAAAAGAAAATTCAGATTTTATTTTCTTCTGAGGTCCTCAAAATTAAGGTCAAACACTTAAAATATCAGGATTAGAAATGGGTGATATCTTCAAGACACTTATATAAAATAATTATATACATGTGTTCTTCATTTTATGATAAATATATCTGAACTATTTGTAATTATAAAAAAGGAAAATCCCACAGATGCTTGCCTAGCTTTTTCTCTCTTACTATGTATTTAAAATATTGGTCATTCTATTGCTTAAACAAATTTTCATTTCATTATTAAATTTTTATACTTTTGTTTTATAATATGATTCTGATTTCTAGAATAACTGACGTATTAATCACCGTTTCACAGGTGACACTAGTGGATGGGCAACCATATTTGGCACAGTCCTTGGAAATGTTAATAACGTGACATTAACACAGGAGTGCTGTAAGTGGTATTGGTTCAAAGACAGTATCCGCATTTCAAAAAACATGACTTGTGGTGGGTGTATTTTTATGAGTACAGCAGTTCCCCCTCTTTATGTTTCACTGCAGTCTAAAATGAGTATTTTGAGGGCTTGGGAATGTAGCTCAGTGGTAAAGTGCTTGCTCTGCATTCCCAAGGCCCTGGGTTGGACTCCCAGCACTGTAGATAATAAAGATAATGTTTTGGAGAGAGACCACCTTTACATAACTTTTATTATGATATGTTGTTATAATTGTTCATTTTATTATTATTCATCTCTCACTGGCATAACTTACAGATTAAACTTTACCATAAGTAAATATTTTAGAATAAAAGTGATTTATATATATATATATATATACATATACATATATATATATATATGTGTGTGTGTGTGTGTGTGTGTGTGTGTGTGTGTGTGTAAAGTTTCATAATATCTGTGGTATCAGACATCCACTGGAGGTCTTGGATTGTGTTCCTTGTGAATAAGTGGGGACTACTGTAGTGCAATAAATTTGCTTCTGAATTTTAATTTCAGTTTAATGTATTTTGCTGGCCAACTCTTCTACCCTCTGTCCATGGGACTAAAATAATAGAAGAAAATGACCATCTGTACTCATGTTTATTTTATGTATTAGTGTATGATTACAGGAATATATGAATATTGAATAGTTTTGACAAACAGTAAGGTTCTCATTCCCTTTCATTATTTCCTTCAACAAAGATATTAAGCACTCAATACTTTCTAACCCCTTAGGTATTGAAGTACAGTGGTAACTAAGATGTGGTCTCAGCCCACACATGCTTCACATCATAGCAGTAATAATATATATAACATATACATAATAATATTATATATAATTATTCTATATATTATATAGAATAATATATATAACACATATATGTTATATGCATATATTATATATGGTATATGTAATTCAATATACATTATGCTATACTAACAGTATACAATCAGTCTTCTGTATCCATAGTTATAATTATGGATTCAACCAGCTATAAATTAAAATATCCTGAAAAAAATTGTGTCTGTACTAAACTTGTACAGATTTTTTTTCTTGTCACTATCCCCTAAAAAATACAATATAATAATTATTTACATTGTATCATAAGGGATTATAAGTAATGTAAAGATGGTTTAAAGCATACCAGAGGATGTGTGTAGGTTCTATTGCAAATAATGAAACATCTTATATAAGGAATTTGAGCATCTACAGATTTGGATATCCATTGGGTTCCTGAAACCAGTCTCCCCCAGATATCAAGAGATGACTGACTGGATGTTATACAGTGCTAGTTTATATATAGCTCACTTATTGTATACTTAATTGCATATAATGTACACAAATTAGAAAGGATAAAATTAGAATAAATGTAACTAAAAATTTTAATATTTTCTTTCTCAGCTACAAGGGGTTGACTCATATAGATCCCAATTTGGAACTTACTGCTATACCCCATGGGCAGTCACTCAAGTTGTGGACCTTTGTGTTTGGTTGGTTTGGGTTAGGTTTTTGTTTTATATCTCTCTCTCTTTTTTTTAGTAAAGAGAGAGAACACATGGTCAGAAATAAATGTGAGGAAAATTCCTCCATCAGTGTTGCAGAGAATGGGTGAGAACAGCAAATCTCAGCTGGGACAACTGTGTTGGACAGTATTGGCTGATATTGCTGATGATCCAAGCTAGAGCAGAGTGGGTTGTGTTGACATCCAGTGGGCAGAGGCTAGAGGTCCTGCTGAGCATCCTGTGGTGCCCACAACAGCCTCCACAACAAAAAAATTATTTGGGCCAAAATGCTAATCATGCTGATTAAACAGAAAGAATGAAAAAGGAGATATTGATTATCATGTGTATTACGATGCTCTGGAAAACACTACGAATTTGAGCCCAGAAAATGCCATAAGGACAGGTGAAGTAGAAGGAGATGCAAGAGACCTTTCAGAAAATTCATAGAACCTGCAAGCAGACTGGGCTGCAGGGCAGGAAGGTGAAGGGTTATACCCACATTTCTGGTTTAGACAACACACAGCTTGACCATATAAAATCCTTTTATTATCAAGTAAGAGTTTCCTTTTTTTTTAATTTTTTATTGTTGGCTGTTCAAAACATTACATAGTTCTTGATATATCATATTTCACACTTTGATTCAAGTGGGTTATGAGCTCCCATTTTTACCCCATATACAGATTGCAGAATCACATCAGTTACACATCCATTGATTTACATATTGCCATGCTAGTGTCTGTTGTGTTCTGCTGCCTTTCCTATCCTCTACTATCCCCCCTCCCCTCCCCTCCCCTCTTCTCTCTCTGCCCCCTCTACTGACATTCATTTGTCCCCTTGTATTATTTTTCCCTTTCCCCTCACTTCCTCTTGTATGTAACAAGTAAGAGTTTCTAACCACAGGTTTTTAATCTAAAAGTTTAACCTTAATCTTCTTGATGTGAACAAACACTGAATTAATCATACCTACATTATCTTTAGAGTTGAGCTAATTAGCATATTGCTATAGATAACATAAAATATTTTCTAAACTTCATACACTATAAGTATCTTTTGCATTAAGTAGGTACTCAATAATAAGTTTTCTGGCTATTAAATTCACTGTTCAAAGAACATTTGTCTTAAAAGTGATCTAAAAGAAGCAGGACATATTTTAATAAATAATGAAAAATATAAATTTAAAATTCACAAATCTCACTTTGTTAGCTGCATCAAATCAATATCCATAAGGTTAGTGAAGAAAGCAAAGATTCCAGAAATATTCTCTTCCCCTTCCTCCCCTTCTGTCTCTTACTCTAACACAAGCACACACGTACACACACTGTGATTGTTCCATGGACCAACCCGGCCTTGTCCCTCCAAATATTCCTTTGGCATACTACTTTGTATGCCATTATCTTAATAATTCTGTAAGTTCCTTCGGAGGAAATTATGAAAACATTTTCTTTATTCAGATAGATGGATCTTTGGTTTTCTCAACTATACACAACTTTAATTTTTTGTAAACAACTTCTACGACTTCTAGTTTCTACTTTCAACTTCGTGGTAATGAAAAACAAAGAACCACATAACTTTCCTATGTTCACATACAAATGCACCAAAAAGTTATAATCTTTGTATATATAATTTGTCAAAATTCACCTACTATCATGTATATCTAAAAAGAACAAATTTTAAAAATTAATTATAAGAAAAACCAAAGAGCCAAAATGAAAGGATATCTGATTGGATTGATTTTAATAGGGCACATTAGTGGCTGTGGCAGAATCTGTGTCTAATTCTTCTCACAGGTCTAAGTCTGACAGGGGAAAAATAATGTGAGATAAATTTTAATCAATAAAAATTTATTAGCAACTATTTTGTGCTGTTGGATTCAACTGACCCAATCATTTCCATTGTGATTTATTCAATCATACTAATAAATTTCATTGAAAAGAACATAGTCTTGCTTTACCATATGATTCTATGCTATTTGAACATGTCTGTGACTTCTTTCTACTCACCTGTTAAACACCTCTGATATGACCACTGAAAGCTAGAACTGAGTTGAACACCACACTAGTCCATACTCTATGGACTAGGAGAGAATGCTTATTTGCTTTTATTATGCACTAAATAAGTCCATTTAACAGATGTGAATTTTATGTATTTGATGAAAAGAGGACAAAGCTTGTTATTCTAACAAAGTCATAAATACAAAAATGCATTTTTTGCCCCAAGTAAAACCTTTCTCTTTTTGCTCCTAGTTTTAAACCAGTATCCACAACACTGTGACTGCAAGGAAACCGAATTGGAATGTGTAAATGCCGGCCTGCAGTCTGTGCCTGTGATTTCCACCAACGTGACACTACTGTGAGTACAGTATCGGGATGATATTTGTCCCTAAAGTCACAAGAAAACCCTCCAGTGGAATTATATCAGAAAAAAATAATAGAAATTCCATTTAAAACCAGTCGTCAGAGAATTCTGCATGCTTCATCTATAAGAGGGACATGTTTTCAACACTGTACATTAGATTAGATCTGGTAATATTCAGCTCACAAATGCCTGAGACCTGGAGCACTTATTTTAATTATTTTCTGATTTATGTATTTTGTAATTTATGTATTGCTACTAATCTGCCTGTGCTGAAATGTTAAAAAGCAAACACACTCACTTATGCCATCTCATTGTTAATGTTTATAATTCATCCAAGATGGAATGAAAGATCAATGAGCTAGTTCTATCATATCATGCAAACTTTTCTGCTTTTTGCTAGAAATTTTCAAGAGCCTCAGAACTCTGCTATCACGTCATCATTTGAGCATATTTGAGTTAGTTAGGATCTTTGGTTGTTTTGCTTTTGGTTGTTGTGTTTTATTAACTTATCCAGAGAGTAAAAGAAAAAGTTGAATCACCATAGATTCTCCCGTTTATTCTACTAACTGGCTAAATTTGTAAAATATTTGCAAACTTCAGTCATGCGATGCATGAAGGATCTCATGTCTAACAGTGGTACTGTAAGATCATAATAGAACGGAAGAATTCCTTTGCCTGGGAATGCCATAGTCATTGTGATATCTTAGCACAGCTACTAGTAGTAATGCTAGTGTAAATCAGCCTACTGTGCTGCCACTCATATGAAAGCATAGCACATACAATTATGTATCACGTACAACACTTGATAATGATAATAAATGACTGTGCTACTGGTTTAAGTATTTGCTATCCTATACTTTATATTGTCATTGTAGAATGCACCCCTTCTACTTATTAAAAAAATTAACTGTAAAGTAGTATGTCTTTTAGGCTTCACACATCCCATTTGTAAGCACACTTTCTGATGTTCCAGGTGACAAAATCACCTCACAATACACTTTTCGGAATATGTCCCATGGCTAAGCTGACATGACTGTACCTTTGTTTTTCTATCTGAATTTTTATTCTCCAGTGAAAAGTTTTCAGTTATAGTCACGTTCAAATGTGTGTTTAGTACCATGGAGCCTCAGCAAATATTCTTTTCCCAGTCATGCAGCTTCTAGAAAAGAGTCTGGTTGGCCATAAAAATCCATAATAAAGTCTCCTTTACTTTATTTTAGGTCTCTAAAGAAAAACAAAATCCACAGTCTTCCAGATAAAGTTTTCACCAAATACAAAGAACTTAAAAAGATGTAAGTAGCTATTAATAGCATATTTATGGAAAAACCCTTATAAAAACAAAATGAAACATGAAGTTTATCATCTTTATCACTTAATTTATGTTTGTAAATTTAAGATTAGAAAATAAAATATTTAAAAGTATGAAATCTTTCCACTCCATAATTTAAAGTGGATGAACTGATTTTATTTTAAACTTTTTCAGAGAGTTAACTTAGAGTTGAGATAAATATTTCAATAGGAAATTACATAGGTCCATATTTTTCCTTAAGAAGTTTTGGAAAATAACAATGCAGAGGCAATACATGTACTGTAGTGAAAGCATAGATAACAACAGTCAAATCACTTAAAACTCAGGATACAGAGACTACCTCCCCAGGGTAATAGGGGCAAAAACACATTTCTAGTACAATCAGTACATTAACATATCTGAGGAAAGAGAAAATCAATAAGTAGTGGTGCATAGTCAGCATATAGAATTCAGTGAGAAAGAAAGGGCAAATATGCTTCCAGCATCATCCAAGAAAGATAACTGGGATTGGGAAATATAGAGGTGGTCTCTGTTGGAGGTTAGGGATGAATCATCAATCTCCACCACAGTTTTCATGAATTGTCTCTTAATATTATGCATATGGTTTTCTTTGATACCTTACTCACTAAGCAACCTTATGATGATGAATAACTTACCATCTTCTTCACAACGAAGCAATTTAATTGAAAAGTTGCATTGGATAGAGGGAAAGGACATTCCTATCAGCAAAATGGGATACTTCATTTTCATATTTAATAGGTGAAATATATACAGGTTCATATATGATTCCTCTGTAAGGTGGGTTAGTGTCTGGTCAGTACCCCAGGAGCACTAGAGAGCTATACCTGCCAATAGGACCATTAGTCTAGATAACAAAATCAGCAGGCTAATGCTGTGCATGCTTGTATCTTCATCTTTGTGTTTTTTCCTTTGACACGGAGCATAGAAGAAAAGTCTCTAGCTGTATGAAATTTGCAAAATAAACTACCAGACAAAAATGATCTGAATCTTTGGGTAGAAATACCAACAATGATTCCACGTTCATGAATCCCAAGGACGGATTCCCTCATAAAAGAAAGGAAGTCAGTGAAGGAAGTCCATCAGGTGGTCTCGTATGAGACCTGAGTTTGAAGATCACCTCTGTAAATCCCAGCTGCAGTTAGGACTTCTGTACCATCCAAGAACATGTGGTAAAATTGTCATTGTCTCACTGGTGTAGCTATGCATTAACTCTGGGCTTCTAGGCTCCCCTGGAGAGGAAATCTTAACCACAGTGCTTCTAATCTTCCTGGAAACTCTTAAAATCACAGCACGTTCATTCTGTGAATCAATATTGTTCTTGCAATGCTGAAATTATGCTCAAGGGGGAAACAATAAAATAGTACTAGTATAAAGAAAAGGTGGAAACATCTTGTTTCAGGGTAGCTGATAAAGTTGTTAGTCAGTTCTTCATCACTATAACAAATACCCGGAATAATCAACTAATAAAGAGAAAAGGTTTATTATGGTTAAGTCCATGACAAATGTATTTTGAAGGTTTTAGTCCATGAATGGTCAGCCCTGTTGCTTTGGGCCTGTGGCAGTACATCATTGTGGAAGCACATGGAAGCACATCTCACCTCGTGATCAACATCAAGAAGTGAAAGAGAATGAGGAAGAAGAAAGAGCTGGTGTCCCACTATCACCTTCAACAGAACAACCCCAATGACTTGAAGACTTCCAACTAGACCCCACCCCCTAAAGGTTCTACCAACTCCCAGTAGCACCAACTTGGGGACCAAGCCTTTAACACATGGCCTTTGTGGACAGTTGAGCCAATTCTATCATCAAGTGTCATAGAAGCTGTAAGAATTTCTAATTAGATCCACTTATTATACATGAGATAGCTAAAGTCTACAACGATTAAATGACTCATCTAAGATCTACAATCAGACAGTGAAAGAGTCAAAATTACAGCCCAGGTCTTCTCATGCTCAAACCAGGGCTTATTTTTTATTTAAAAAAAAAAAAAGACCTAGAGATGGAAAGAAACTGTTCTATATTTGTACCAACTCATACTATCCTGACCCATGCAGATTCACCCTTTTATCTTTTGCCCCCTGCTGTGGGGAAAGCCAATTTCTGGGGAGGTAGAAGGGTCACTAGAGGATTAGGTCGGAGAGGTAAAATAAGATTTCTCAGGCAAAGTCCTTTCCTGTCCAATGATCATACTTTGTTCTATGTCAATACTTTCTTGTATGGTAACTGCTAGTCCACTGAGTAATTCAAGCACTGGAGTAATTCAAGTCCTATATTTTCCTAGTGATTAACCTTCATTACCAAGATCAGCTGGCAACTTCTTCAAGTAAATGTTTAATTCTACCTTGTCTGAGAATTTCAGGTACCACATCATGACCTGAACATTAGCCAGCAGGGTTCTCTCCATGTGAGCTGCTATTTAATGCTTCCTAGGTGATTTATTTCTCCCAGAATCTCACAGAAAAGAGATTATGAGACCCTCATCAAGAAACACTAAGTGTCTATTATATACAAGATACAGCACAGGGGATGAAATATAATTCCTTTCATTTAGATATCACTTTTTAAAGCTTATGAAGAATTCTAGTATTTGGAGTTCTTATTTAGGCTTTGGTCCTCAAAGTTGGTGAGGTGGGTAGGAATAAGGATCCCATTCTGGAAGAAAGGTTGTCTGTCCAGAGTCAGACAGCTGGCTCAAACCTTCTGATTGTGCTCCTTAGGAAGCGTTAGCCCATATGATCCAATCTCAAGAGTATTGTTTCCATCAGTGAAACTATCTATGGCCTGGCGTGATAGTGCACGCCTATGAACCCAGCAGCTTGGAAGGCTGAGACAGGAAGATTGCAAATTCCAACCAGCCTCATCAACTTAGCAAGGCCTTAAGCAACTTAGTGAAACCCTGTCTCTAAATAACATATAAAAAGGGTTGGGGATGTGGCTCCATGGTTAGGTACTTCTGGGTTCAATCCCCAGTACCAAAAAAAGAGAAACAAAAAAAGAAACCATCCACTACCAAATTTTGATTTGAAAATAACTCACATCCTTTTCAAGCATTGCTCAAATATCCTACAGCAGCACAGAAGTCAGCAACGCTTCATTATACCTCTTTTCCTCCCCATCCCCTTTCCTTTCATTTCTAGCTCCTCCTACCACTCCCCCTCAAACTCCCAGAAAAAGCTCCCCCTGCCCCAATTCCACTGTGTCCCTCTTATTCTACTGCTCTTGGTTTTTCTCCCCAGTTCAACATACAATAGCCCAAATAACCAACATAGTAAATACCCAACCATCCCCAGGAACTGGTATCAGGAAAAGGGAGGAGCCAGATGGATAACAGGAGAGGAAAGGCCAGCAAAGTCCACCTGTTCGTTCATCCCATCAACAAATATCAGTGCCTTCAAGGGGCCAGTCGCTAAGCATACAGCAGTCAACAACATGGGTGAAAAGCCCCCTCTTTGTGGAGCTTAAACTACAATGGAGAAAAGGAGTCAAGAAACAAAGTTTTAAATGTAGAGTGTGGATCTAGGGTCAGTGGTAGAGTGCTTACATGACATGTGGAAGACCCCTGGTAACTACCTGCCTTAACTCCTGTGGATCTTGCCCCTACTGTTCTAATTCTATGCCATCTGAGTCACTGCTGAGGCTGCATGTGCTCCCTCTTGTACTTGTACACTTAGCACTTAAGAGGCACTATTGGGTCCTTCGATGTATCACTAGTCAGCTTCATCCTGTTACATTCAATTTTTCTTACTAAATGATGATCCTTTTTGGATCATCCAATGTGTGTTCTATTCCTCCCAGATTTCTGTGATCTGCAAATAAGATGAACTCAATATTTTAACCAAGTAATGAAGTAAAATATTGAAGAAGACAGTGCCAAATTATCTTTACATGTCCTTCATCATCATCCTTCTGATAAGGTCTATATAATTCTTTATTTTGTCTATCACAAACCACTTGATCAGTGCCTGATAGATTTACTGGTATATATCCCATGTTTTTTTCTGGTCAGTCTTTCAAAGAAGAAATTGAAGTTAATCAGGCACGCCCTGTTTCTCATGAACCGTCCTGTTCACTTTGTTTTTGAGATGTTCGCAAAGCAACATTGAAACAGCCTGTTCTAGGAGCTCAGCAGGCCTGCTTGGAGCTCATTCACCATAACTTGTAAAACCTACTACTTCCCCTTCTGAAAAATCAGAACCACGTTGGCCATCTCTAATTTTCTAGCTGCTCCAGATTCCTCTGGAATTTGTCTTGCTTTGATGTTCTCGTTTTTTTGGTGTTTCTCGATTGCTAAGATAAATTGTACAAACTAGAGGGCTTTATTTCCTTTTGGTTAACAAATTCTATCTTGGACTTTCCCTACCCCCCTCCATAGCATACATACTTTCAATTCACCTCAGTCCTGAGGCCACCTTCTGTGAGAGACAGGGACAAAGTAGGAGTTGAGAAATATGCTGTTATTTCCTCTTTTTTTTTTTTTTTTTTTTTTGCTACTGAGGATTAATCCCAAGGGCACTCAACCACTGAGCCACATCCCCAGTCCTTTTATGTTTTTTAAGCAACCACTGAGTTGCTTAGGGCCTCACTAAGTAGCTGAAGCTGGCCTGGGACTTGTAATCCTCCTGCCTCAGCCTCCCAAGCTGCTGGGATTACAGGCGTGCACTACCATGCCCAGCTGGTTATTTCTTTACATTCTCACAACATTATAAGCAAGTCCCAGGAGGTCAGCTTACACTTCTCTTAAAGACCTTCTTACTTCTACTGTATCACCAGAAGTACATTTTTATTTCCCACAGAGTACTTTTCTTTCTGATTTTTTAACATGCCGTGGGTCAACTATGATTTCGTTTTCATGAAACCCTCACGTTCATCCTTGATTTGTGAAGGAAGCACTCTTGGGCCACCATAGCTGCCTTTTGAGTTGGAGGTCCTCCTGGGTCGGCACAGTACCATATAGTACCCCACTCCCCTGCCGTGGATGTTATAGCATACATACTTATGGACATTGTGAGGATCAGTGTTTTCCCAATGAATGAGAACCAACATGCAGGACTAAAGAGAGGGTAGGGAGCAGATTTAGAAGAAAGAACAAAGGAATATAAACCAAGAACACTAAAAGGATACTGGGAAAAGGGTGAACTGGGCATTTTGCCTAAAGAAAACGAATTTCCACAGAAGATGTAGCATATTCTGGAGAGGTCACTTAATCATAATCGGAGAGACTGAATACCAGTGAAAGAATCTAGATTTGATTTGGTTTTAGCAGAGAAAGGCATGCAAAAACCTGTTTTTGAGTCTATTGAGTGAGTAAAGTTCGTCTGCATATTTTGGCTGTATTGAAATTTATCCTAAGAGAGTACAGAATTTAGTGTCAAGCAAGTCCCCAGTCAGGAATGTTCTAAATACAGTAGAATTGAGGTCGGGTAGGCACTGGGTAAAATAAATGCCTAAATCAAAATTAAATTTTAATTGCCAGATGAATAAATGTTGCTTAACTGTTCTGAATGCTTTTATCATTGGTCAATTTATTCACTTTAATAATCTTTTAAAATGTCAGGACCTACTAAATAAAGTTGAGAAAGAAAAGGTAGTTTCAGATGACCTTTCAGAGAAATAAAATACAATTTATGGGATTGACTCTAATACTTTATCACTGCTACCATGGAAACCAACAGCAGTTCTCCTCCTCATTGTAACACAAACCTTATAAAAATTAGGAATTCCTTCTTCAACTGGATTGTTGTTAAATGCAATCATTGGCAACAAAATGTAATTCAAGGTGTTTGCCTGGCTCTTGAATACAAATTGTCACATTAAAAAAATAGCCTATGCATGTCTTTAAAGCATTTATTTGCTTTAGTTTCAGGTACATAAATTCCTGGTGTTTCTGCTTGAAAATTCTGACAGCTGAAACAGCAGGAATTCATGAAGCAGTAAGTTATTCTTAGAAAAGCCATTCAGTGTAAAGTGTATTAAATGGGTTCATATCTAAGTTCTGACTAAGAGGAGGTCGCCACTCACCAAATTATCATGTCTCCATATTTCCCCTCTCATTCTCTAAGCTACTCTTCTGCAAAGAAGAAAGTAGATACTGAAGATGGAGTTTAAGTTCAGCAGCCTATGCCTGAGACCTGAGACTTGAGACTTGAGGTCTGAATGTGGAGGCAGCCAGCCAGCTGAGCAGATAACTGGAGTAGAGGCTCTTTATTAATTAAGGAGCTTAGGTGACATCAGTGAAGGGAGATAGTTTGTACACATCAGGTGAATCATACAGATCATTGGTTTTATTCCTATTGCCTTTGACTACTAAGAGAAAAACTCAAGGTCAAATTCACAATTGATTATAAATGTACCTATCCCTTAAGATTTATGTAAAATATGCATTGTACTTTTCAATTGATCATCTCAAATAAAACATAAATAGCATTAGTTAGGTAATGAATTTTATATTTAAAAGAAAGTTCAATATACCTTTATTGGAGTATGATATTCTTTTTCTATTCTCATTTGCTTCTGTAACCTAATTCACCATATTAGCTTTCATTACATCAGTCCAAGGGCTCTGAAAATGCTAAAACAGATATTGATCCATGTCGGTTCATCCTGTTCATAGTAGAACCATAATCCAACAGCAGAATTTGTGCTGTATTATGAAGCATCTCGCCACAGACATGGTGCAGGGGATAGGGGGTTGGGAGGGCACAAGGTCACACTGAGTTTCAAGTTTATTTTCAGCATTGAAATTGATGTTCTGTGTATCACTATAGATGTAATACACGTGCTCTGTAGTACCAACCCTTTCCACATGGTGGTCCACCAGGAAAATGACATTTTTTATACTGGGCTAAAAGAATGGGTTTGCTAATAACTGGAAGCTAACCTTGGCTTTACGGGGCTACCTTGAGATCTAAGGCTGTCAATAACTTAGCACCCCTGTACCACACTCATGATTCGAAGGTAAATGCTGGAATGCTCTGTTAGGGAATAATTATTTTATAAGAAAATTCAAAGTGCAACCAGACACGGAATAAGCACATGTTCTGCCTATACTGTGCAGTAGAGTACCATGACAATTAAGACAATATTGTGTAATATTTGAGGAATCAATTCAAATCAAAACAAGAGAAATCAAAACCATTCAGAAAACTGTGTGTTAATTAGTTACTATTATTTGTGTGGCTAATCCCTGCCCCTGAAAGCCTTTAGAAAATATGAATTCAAGGGCTGAGATTGTGGCGCAGGGGTAGAGCACGCACCTAGTATGCGTGAAGCACTGGGTTTGATCCTCAGCACCACATAAAGTAAAATAAAGACATGGTGTCCACCTATGACTAAAAAATAAATATATATGTTAAAAAAGAAAGAAAATATTAATTCAAGGCTCGCCTCCTTTTGTCTTATTTCTAGGAGATGGAATTATATACTCAGAGAATCCTGAAAGCACTATTACTGAATCAATAGGATATTGTTTGTTAAGTTGCTTCAAAGATGAAGTAAATCACAATCCTGTGAGTTGAGGGGGCACAGTAGACCCAGTTCAATGATGGGTAGAATCCTGAGCACCTCACTATCTCACTTTAGGCTTCTTACTTTGCATCTTGAAATGGAAAAGAATAAAACTGGCCACCTCCTTTGTTCATGGGAATAGAATGAGGAGGGATGAGGAGTTAAAGACTGAATTCTGTGCTGAGAGAGAAATTCGAAGAAAAGGCTGGCTAGTCTCTCATGGCCAGTAACTCCTGCCAGTCAGAACAAGAGGCTGCCATAGCTCCAACCTGTAGAAATAGGACTATACCCAGACACAATATATCACCCCAGAGTTCAGCAGTACAAATCAGAGATGCCCAAATTTCATTGCACAGGTGCTATCAGACAGTAGGCATTGACTTACTTCAAAACCATCTCTCACTTAACACCTGCCCCCAACATGCAAATAGGACCTTGGGCTTTATAAGCCAATTGCACAAATTGTCTTCAAGTGAAGAGCACGTTCAATAAACTAGCAAAGCCCATAAACCATAATTACCTGATCCTTCTGTCTTATTCCTAACAGATTTCTTCAGCATAATTGCCTTAGACACATATCCAGGAAAGCATTTTTCGGATTATATAATCTGCAAATATTGTGAGTAACGTCTTTGTGATTAAATAATGGGTGTAAATTTAAGTAAACTAAAAGGGTAGAATGGTAGGCTTTCAAGGTTTGACTTGGTGGTAGAGAAATAGGAGGAACAGGTTATCACAAAATACTCAGATTAATTATTATGTTTAAAAAATTATTCAAAGATTTAGATACTATCAGAAAACATATGAAGACTCTCTGTAACATTGTTTTCTCCAACTTGGGTCACTTCCACAATATTTTGGTATTTTTTTCCTAACCATCTCTATATGCTTTCCAAAAATATTAATATACTAAGGATGTGACCAAAAAAGAATAAAAACAAACATTGACCCACATATTTAGTTATTGTACTCTTATATTCTACCATAATGCAATACCCTGAGCATTATTTTTGGCCACTTCTCTTGCCCTGCCCCTCGTGTTGAACACACTGAACGTGTGGTTATTTGTAACTTCTGATCATCCCTGGGTGTCTTCCCCTCTGCTCAGCCAGCAAAATGCTCTCAGAAGCAGATGTCCATACTTTACAGTCATCATCAGTGGCTCATATTCTAATTACATGAGACTAAAATGGAGTATTGAGTTTGCGTTATTAACTCACCCATGCTATTTGTAGATATCTCAACCACAACTGCATTACTACTCTCAGACCTGGAGTATTCAAAGACTTGCATCAGCTAACATGGCTGTAAGTATCCCAGATTTCGTTTCCCTCATAAATGATCACAGTATTCATGATACACAACAGTGCTGTTTCCACTTTGGGAGGTATCTTGTTTATTATTCTGTTTCTCCTTGGCACACAATCTGGAGCACTTTGACCCAAGCAGTTTAGACAGTGGCATGCCAAGCATTAGGCTTTCCAAGTCAGCCTGCCATTCCCCCAGTGTTCACCAAGAGCAGGATTCCTCAACCTCAACTCTATTGACATTTTGACCCATATAATTCTTAATTCAGGGGAGACAGGGAGAACAGAATGTCTGGTGCATTTTTAGGATGTTTAGCACCATCTGTGGCCTCTACCTACTAGATGCCAGTAGGACACCTCTTCTTCCAAGAGTTGTGACAACTAAAAAATGTCTCCAGGCATTGCCAGATGTCTCCTGCGAGGAAAAATTGCCCTCTGTTGCAAACCACTGACCCAGAAAGTAAGCAAGTTAAGGACTTATTCTGCTTCCCAGAGCATTCAGAGAAAAGTCTGATAATATGGTAATTTGTGGCATTTCACCACTATCCAGACTGAGCCACTAGCTCCCTCTCTAGGACTCTCATGGCATATTTCTTTGCTTTCTTCAGGAGAATTAACAAAGGGCAATAGTAGGCTTTGAGTGAGTTTGCTCATCTTCTACAGGTTGTCCTGGACCAGTGGAAAAAGCCAAGAATTTGGCTTCATCCAGAACTTGTGTGTGCCTGACCCAGTGCTTAATCTCCTGGGAAATGTACCTAATCTACCTAGGTCTCTTTTTTCTTATCTGTAAACTATAATCCTAATTCCTTTGTAGGAGAGATGTCATGAAGATTAAATCAGATAATACACATAAAATGTCACATGCAAAACTCCTGGCACATATTAGGTGCTTATTGTAACTCCCTTTCTACTTCCTACCCTTTGGGACTCCTCAGAATACTAGGAAATAACACCTGACTTCAAAGGCAACAAGAGAGAAGGTGACCTATTTCCCCGTAGTCTAGTTTCTTCTACAAGACAAAAAAATACTCTATATAATTTAAGACAGTGGTTTGAATATACAAATATGTTTACTCTTTCACCTGCCAAGTCCTTATGAATAGTTATCACATCCGTTCATTCATTTGTACAGACCTTGTTAAATACATCATGAGACCAAAGAGCCATCTGTTAATTTCCTAAAGATTATTTTTGCATTCATTCTCCATTCAGCCAATCAAATAGCCAAAGCATTTATGGAGCCAATAAGTGTGAATTATGCTGGACCAGGCTCTCCGAGATAAAGAATAAAAATACCTGGGCTTGTAAGTCTAGCAGAAAGTAGATACAGGGAAATAAAGCAAACCATCAGGCTCCAACTTGATAAGTGATGGGATGGAAGTTGCAGAAATTTGGAGGAAAGTGATATTCTAGCTACAGGGTGAAGGAAGAGCTTTCAGGAAAATGATACGTGGGCCAAATGTGGAAGAACAAGGAGGAGTAAGCCAGGTGTTGGAGGAGGCAAGAAGGGAATGGACCATTTATTTATTTATTTATTTTTCTGGTTTTATTTCAGAAGTGTGTCTAACATTGGAAATGTTTTTGATATGTTTTGTCAGAATTCTAGACGACAATCCAATAACCAGGATTTCTCAGCGGTTGTTTACTGGATTAAATTCCTTGTTTTTCCTGTAAGTGTTCATCTCTCTTTCAATATATCTGTCTGCAAATTGCAATGAAATCGAACACTAGCTTACAGAAAAAGCCTTAAAACAACCTCAAATCCACTAAAAATTTTATTAGTCATAACCTTTCCTGTGTTCCTTCTTCTTGCCCATGGCTCAAAGGGAACAGCTGACTAGATTATAATGTATATTTTAAGCCTACTAGTTGACATTTTTTTTTGGATCCCCTTCCATTTCTTAAAGTCCTGAGGCATGTTTTTATTTGTAGTAGCTGACCAAAGATTCACTTTTGTATCCTATTCATTTTTATTATATCCTAATTACATTTAAATCTATTAGGATCTCCAGGAGCCTAACTCCAACTTCATATTTAATAGAGAAAAATATGCTTTTGTTCAGCAACAGTCACTGGAAATTCCAGAATCTTTGCCCCGCCAACAGAGCTGTTCTCATAATTATGTTTTTGCTGTTTATTAATATACTGGAATGATTCATCTGCAGGGGATTATTATGTTTCTTTACAGTTAATCATATGGCATCATTATTTTTCCATTTGTCAAAAGGGACCACCACGTCATAAATTAATCGTGAGACTTCACATGTTCCTGAGTTGTTTTTTCTCCCAAGTCTCCCCAACTGTCATTCCTTAAATTTAATGTGGTTTCAAATATGGCCCTTTAATGTTACAAATGATTAATGTTTCCCCTAAGAAGAAACATTGGATTATGGCACTGGAAATGATTGCAAACTTGAGGAATACATGGAAAATGATCATGAACTTCAAAGTCACTACTATATGCATGCTTTTGTTTCACATCATATTTATGCCTAGGATATATCTCATTCATGACTTCTTTGAATCTGCTGTTTAGTTCTTGCCAATCACCTATTTAAAGACCACTTTGAAGGGGTCTTTATGTATAAAGTCTTCATTCTTCGTATTCATTTTGGCATGCAAATCTCTAAATTGTGGAATAGTAAAAATACTGTTCTTAAGATGGCATATAATTTTGTTTCTAACTAATATTTTCTTTATGTAAAGATCTATGGTTAATAACTACTTAGAGGCCCTTCCCACACAGATGTGCACCCAAATGCCTCAACTCAACTGGATGTGAGTATTCATTCAAGGTTTAATTTGTTATTTCTCCAGAATACAAAAACTAGCCACGAAGTTCATTCATGAAAGTCCATTTTTAATTTTTTTCCCAAAATCAAAAATCTAATCATGTTACTTCCCAGTTTTAAGATCCTTTGAGGGCTCCCAAAGGTGCAAGAGTGACATTCGACCTTCCCCCTGAGCACCCAACACCCTTTATTTTTCATCTCTTACCCCATGTAATCTCTTTTCCTGCCCCTCCGACAATGTCCTTTCCTCCCGGATTTACGGATCCACTGGTTCTGCCACCAATTCCCTAAGTACATTCTGTTCCTTGAACTTGAAAGCTCTGGCTCCCTTATTCTTTTGGCTAACTCCAACATTTCCTTCAAAAGTCAACTGAAATATCACCTCTGGGGACTCTGTTCCTGGCATTCCAGCCAGTTTCCGTGGCTGCGTTTTTACTTCCATTGCGCCTCCTACAAAACTGCTGTGCCCCCATTTTCTACCTCTCCCAGCTGTCTCAGGGTATATGATCATATAATCACTGGTTTACTTGTTCATCTCTCCTCTATTGTTTCTTAAGTTCCTTAAGGACAGAAATGAAATATTTGATTTCAGTACCCCAGTATTTGGACTCAGTAGGTACTCAGTAAACCTTTGATGGATGTGCCACGCCATTTCCACTTCTTATTAGCTATTCATACATAAAACACTCCTTTAATTTACACTATGGCCTCACCACCACTACCCACCATTCTCTGCCATGTGAATCTTAATGGTCTCCTACAACAGCGAGGCTGGTACAGCCATTGATTTCCCACCTTGTAAAAATAGGGAATGTACCAACCTCCAGAACTCCTCTTGTAATCCAATCAAGGGACTGGTACCCATAAAATGATACTCCTCTCTGAATTGAAAGTTTCTTGTTAAAACTCTATTAGGCAGTATTGTGTTTACTCACTTTTGTTTCTATGTACTTAAGTTTATATCTATTATCAAAAGCCTTTTAAAATACTAGAGGATCCATAAAAGTGTGCCATTATTAAAAGCAGAAATAAGGTCTGAAAAGCATGAGAAGAAAACTAAGAATAAGTGGGAAAGTATTTAGGCACAGAACCTCTGCACAATGAGAAATAAACAGGAAAGAGCAAGAGAATATCAGGGCCCCAGCCTGCTTGGCCTCCCAGCCACTGGGCAGGAAGGACAGCAAGGAGATCAGGAGCCAGCCTTAGAGCCCGAGTTTCCGGCATGCTCATTGTCACTGTAAGCTCCCAAAACCACCACGGGAGAAAATAGATGCCCAGTGAAAATACAGATTTAGCAAGATGGCCTGATCACAAATGAGAAAGAGTCCTTATGCCCAGAAAATAGAAAAGTGAGAAGTCAGATCCAAATTGCTCCCACTTAAGGGCAAGAGAAAACTTGCACTGGTCTGGCCTCTTCTCCCTCTTCACTTGCCTTCAAGTGGGATAGTTGCTTTCATGACTCCAAAGTGTTCTAAGGGTGAGAACGTGAAAGACATTTTCCTGTTTTTCTCAGCAATACTTGGACATCGAAAATAATATAGCATTTATTGTACCTAATCACAGCTTTCCAAATGGAAAAATAATATTGAGTTCCTACAAAAATCTCCACAAGGTTTTAAAATTGGATTTAAAGGAACATGATATAGAGTTGGATGATTTTAGTGTGACCATGAGAAGAGTTCGGAAGCAGAAATGTAGCTATTGTCCTATTTGGAGAATTTATAGGAAGTTGACTATAAATATAAGTTGGCAGGAAAGTTGACTTTTTCTTTTTCTCCCCTGCACTGCTTAAAGTAAGACTGCCTTTCACAAAGGTTCTGGATGGCATTTCCAGGGTATATGGGATGCCACTGTCCTAAGGAATCACCTGACAGAATGACATCTTCCTCCTGTGCTTTGTGGACATTAATGGGAATCACAAACAACGGGAGGACTTTCTAAGACACAGGGGGCTGGAACTTTGTCCTAGAGTTTCTGATCCAGTAGGTCTGGGTGGAGTCCGAGAATGAGCCATTGTAATACATTCCTAGGTGGTGCCAAGGCTGTGTTCCTGCCACACAATGAGTGCCAACACACTGGACCATGGCATCACTGAAGTTATAGGGGAAGGAATCTGTGCTTTGGCATCACACAGACCAGGAGGCCCACAGCCTGACACTGGTGTTCAGTATGTGCAAGATAACTTTTTAGGCTGACTCTCTCCTTCAGGAATATAGAACCAAAGTATCTACCTGATATTGGAAAGAATGTGAGAATAAAATAATACATGATACCCAGGGCATAGTTAAATGTCTGGGCTTTAGATTCAGACAGTTCTGATTTGAGTCAGTTTTACCACTTACTATGCATGACCAGGAGGAAATGGAACCTCTAAGCAAGCATTAATTGCAGAATAGCACCTGAGGCAGAATATGATGGTTGGACAATATTATCATTGATAACATGGTGTCCAGAACAGAGAGACACTCAGCAGATGTTAGGCTGCCCTTTTCCTCAATTTTATTAAGCTCTAACATTAACTGGAAAGAGAAAAGAGGCATTTATAAATTACATAGCCCTGCAACAATTACAAGAAAAACAGTACATTTTGAATTGGAGTAAAAACAAAGTTCAGAACAGCTATGTCAACAAAATGTATCTGTCCATATATGATTTGTACAAAAATACTCAAGATACTTTCCCTCCATGACTTTCAGGGACCTGGAAGGCAATCGAATCAAGTATCTTACGAACTCCACCTTTCTGTCCTGCGATGCGCTCACCGTGCTGTAAGTACCCAATGAACTTCAGTACATGAGGAGAGACCTGATAGATTTGGAAATTCAAAGAAAACAATTGGCAATGAAGGTTAAGGCAGGGTTTTGTTTGCAGCCTTGGTCTGGAGCTGCTGTAGAGAGTGCACAGGTTGATTTATTGATTTTGATGGTGGAGCTGAGACTTCAATTAAGTTGCCCACCATGGGGGTCTCCCGCTGGCTCCTTGATCCTGAGGGAAGTTGTCATTTCTGTGTACACTATAAGCTGCCCTGGTTCCCAAAAGTTCATTTCCTAACCCAAAGGTTGGCAGTGAAATGGGATCACGTATGTTAATATGATTAGTTGTGCAAGGATTAGCTATTACTGCTAAAGACTCTTATCACTTGAAATCTCTCTTCCTAAAGAAAAAATAAATTATATGCATATATATATGATCTTATTCTAAAGGGAAAATAACCTAACATATTTGATTGGCCAAAGATTCTGACTGGTGATTCTGAATGCTGCTTATGCTTGTTCTGGGGGCGGGAAGACAGAAGGATTGGTCAATTTGGCACATTTTGCACTGGTAAGCTGAAAAACACAAGTATTTTGTGTTTGTTTTAATTATGGTTTTCCACAGATAGTAAGCACTTGGTAACGATTGCTGATCGAATGGGTGAATGGAGAAAAGAATGATGCAGAAAGACTAGAAAGAGACACTTTCTAAAATAATCAGAATCCAAACCAAGTGCAGCTTTATAGACCACACCGGCAGCTCCAGTTGCTCCTAGGAGCGCTTCCTGGAGAGTTAGGGAGGCATTCCTGCCTCAGGTTCCACACCAGAAGATGCCTCCCTTTGAGATCTCAAAGGAGGCTTATTAGATTACAGCCGGATCAGTGGCATCTGATTTATGACAGCAGACGCAAACCCACGGTGTTGACTCTCGCCATGTCTTACAGGTTTCTGCCTAGAAATCAAATTGATTTTGTTCCAGAGAAGACATTTTCTTCATTAAAAAATTTAGGAGAACTGTAAGTAGCATCGTCTACTAGGAAGAATATGATTGCTTCTTCCAGGATTATAAGCTTAAATGACTAGTGAGACTGCTTTTCCACTAGTGGCAATCAAAATCCTGTAGACTATTGGATGTTAAAATTCAATTAAGAAAATCAACATTATCCTAAAGTCAGAGCACATTAAAATCAGACAGTGGGCTTAATGTGGAGTTAGCCTACTCTAGTTCCCCTACCTATTTTCTTTGGGTGATTTCATGAGTATGTATGTTTGGGAGTAAATGAGTTTTCCAGATCTTCTTAAACACAGAGATCATTTATCTCTAATGGATGGAGTATAGTTAATTTTCAGTAAAATGCTTGCTGAATGAATAACGGACTGACTGAAATGATATTAATAAAAATTGCATGAGGAATAAAAATTCTTATCTCTTGAGAAATTATGACTTTTGTAGCACAGGGAATGGGCTCATTGAAAAATATTCAAGGAACTCCTGTAACTTTTTCTGTTCAAATATTTGTTTTATAAATATAAAACCATTTGCTTTGCCCCCCACACACACATAGTGGTTATCATTGGAAATTAAAATTCATTCGTCTATTAAATTAAAAATCATAGCAACTGGGGTAAAGAACTGGTCCTTCTAAGTGGGACCTTAAAATGGAAATTAATGTCTTAAAAAACTCTTTCTCCCTTTTTTTTTTTAACATCTTGTTTTTTTAATCCAGAAAGGACTGGAGAAAAAAAAATAAATGTGATTTTAAAAGTAATTTTAAAAAATAACTCATGAACAATTATGATCAATCAAATCCATAAATATTTACTAAGTAACTAGAATAGGCAAGACTCTGCATAATGAAAGATATTATTATTTTATGACAAAAAAAATTTAAAAGTAGCCCATTAAGAACAGACTTCCTTTAAGGGCCATTCCTCATCAGGCTCTGGACTTGGGTTACTGGTTGGGGTGGGCAGCAGCCCAAGACAAAGAGGGGCTTATTTTATATGTAAACTTAAGGAAACAGTGAGTTGGAGTTCTATTTTGAAAATTGCCCTAATCTTCGTCTTATTTTATATGTCGATAGATCCCCCCATTAAGAGATACTAGCTTGCTGATTTTAAGGCCACCAGTATACTATCCAGTTCAATGCACTTTGCTCTGAGCTTCAAAAAATTCAGAAGTCGATAGACTAAACTTGAACAAGGCAGGTCTACAAGTCTTGATTCTACAAGTGTTGAATAACTTGCCATCATAACATCAAATTCTTCCTGGGGATGAATAAGCATAAGTACATGAGGCCCCTCGATTCTTTCCCCCAGAAGAGTGTACTTTATTTTTCTATCTGACACTTTCAAGGACAGTGTCTAGGTTTACGAGATCACCACCATCTTGCTCTATTGCCGTGCTCTCTCTGGCCCACATACACCTGTGGCTCTCCTTTCGGGCCTTGATCCAGGTATGCTCCTCCTCTCTGGACCTCCAGATTAGAGTTCCTACCTAGCAGGACCTGGTGCTCGGATGTCATGAAAATCACCTCCAAAGCAAACTGTTTAAAGTAACAGCACATCTTACCCCATTGCCAGCTCCTTCACCTGGACTTGCCATCACGTGGCTGTAGCATCCTCCCTGGCAGCCAAGCCTGAAGACTGCTCCCTGGTCGTCTGCTTTCCTCTTAATGTGCTAAGTTTTCCCAGACCCCAAACCATGCTAATGTCCCTGTTAAGTCTTCATCAGCTCTCACCTGGCCATAAAGAAGCCTCTTACCTCGATGATTCTCTTCTAGCATTTCAGCCTTTCTTTCTGGTCCTGATGTAATTGTCATCCCATGACTCAGAGCCTAAGATGCTACTATCCTGCTCAATGTCCTCACTCCTTGTTGCCTGATGTTCGGCCTGACATGGCTCTCAAATGTTAATGTGCAGAGGAATCACAGGTCTATTAGTTTAAATCCAAGTTACCAGGATTCCTCCCTGAGATTCTGATGTGGTAACTCTGGGTTGGGCACCTGAAATGGGATCTTTCTAAGAAACCTCAGTGATTCTGATGCCTGGACTATGTTCTGCAGAAGACTGCCTTGGAGCATATTCATAACCCTCCCATCTTGTCTCCAAGAACTTCCAGGCTGGCTTTTACTATGTTTCCCCCACGTTGTTTCTTCTTTACCCGTGTTGGACCACTTGCTGACTCCTAAAAACAACATTCAATTCCAAGAATTTGTTTCTCTTGTCACACTTTACTGTCACCTAAAAAAGCTGCTCATCTTTTACCCCACCTAAAATCATTGAGCTTTGTTGAAACACTTCCTAATTTCTCAGGCCAAGATTGATGACTCCTTTCTTCTACCTACTGTCTTCCCTTCTGTGATTGCACCTGCATCATTCTTTCCTTGATTTGTAATCTGGTTATATCAGTCCATTTTCTATTGCTATACCAAAGTACCTGATGCTGGGTTTATGAAGAAAATAGGTATATTTAACCCAAGGTTTGGAGGCTGATAGTCCAAAATCAGGCAGCCCCACTGATGCAGCCTCTAGTGAAGGCGTCATGGCAAATGACATTTTGGACTTAGCATGTACAGAAAGAGTCACATGTTAGGACACACAACAAGCCAGAGAGGGATTGGGATGAGGTTTGCATTTTTAAAAATGCAAAACTCACTCTCATGGAAACTAACTGTAATCCCAGGAGAATTACCTTAATCTCTTTTGGGGGATAAGGCCCCCAATGACCTAGCTACCTCCTACTGGGCCCCAATGAACAGTAGTTGTTACTCTAAATGAAAGCTTCTTTAAGGAAAGAACTCTTAGCTGTAACTCCCACATTTCCGTCAGCAGCTCCAAAGTGTCAAGAACAGTTAAGACTTTTTGTTCACTCTTAATTAGGCAATTGTGCATCTGTTTTATCTTTTACATTTTCTCTAACGCAGAAAGATATTCTGGGTTCTTAAACAGTGTTGATTTCTTCTGATTCCAGCATACACAGATTGAATGATGCTATCATATTTAATTCTAAACTCTCATTTGCTTATACAAAAATAGTCCCATGTAGGAATGTATTCAAGAGGTAAACATTTGTCCATTTAAGATGATGTGGGTGGATTGTCTCAGTGGGAATGCAAAATAAATAGAAGACGCAAGACTTGACCTCAAAAAAGGTTATTTGGATAAACAAGAGATCACATACATGAAGCACGTAGGAATCAGGAGCATGAGTGGTAGTACAAAGAGTACCTAAAACAGAGGAAATTAATCAAAGCAGATATTAAAGCCAGGATGTGTTGGAGAGGGTGTGAAAGGAAATTCCAGACAGGAACTGGATGAAAGAAATGTCACAAGCCTGTAAGTGGTGGAAAATACATCCATCTGGCTGACTCACAAGGCCTTGTTGTGTAACAGGTTATCGGGTTAATTAAATTGAATTCGTATTTTCTGTTATATCAAATGGGGTGATGATAACTCTGCAGAGTGATAACTGTGTCACTTACTTCTAAGGCAATTGCTTTGGCTTTGCACTGTCATCAACAGGGATCTGTCTAGCAACATGATAATGGAGCTACCAGTCCACCTGTTTAAAGACCTGAAGCTTCTCCAAAAACTGTAAGTTCTTCTCATGATCATCAGATGTAAATGGCAACATCTTAGGTTTTCGAAATAATAACATCCATACTTCTCTTCCCCTTCCTCCAATGGTAAAAAAGGAACCTGTCATCCAATCCTCTTTTGTATCTCCACAAGAACCAGTTTGGAAGTCTTAAACAACTTCAGTCTCTGTAAGTAAAATATCACAATTATGTCCATTATCATTTTAGTGGATGTATTTTACTGAGAGACACATTGATTTTTAGATGGGTGTTTCACACATAGGAGCATGCACCCTCAGGTGATTGTGAATACCACGGCTACCATCAATTATATACTGAATGATAGCAGAGGCACATTTTTTACCATTCAGTTGTACCAAAGCCACTTTCTGTGTTTGAAACATATATCTCTTCTTCCTGAAAACTGGGTTCATTATGGAAAAATCTCATCCTACAATTTTAACAAAAAATTAAATTTGCAATAATTTTCTTTCTAGAATTATGGAAAGAAACAAATTATGTAAGACTTGCCTTCTTTTTCCCTTTTACCTTTTCTGTAAGAAGCTACTTGAAACCGGTCTACGTTGCAAGATTTTTACTTTTCAGTAGGTAAAAAAATTATCTCACAAATATGTAGATGAGTAATGTTGTTTAGTATCTTAAAACATCAATCAGATTAGGTTTCAATGGTGTCAAGAACTCTACCCACTATTCTTTGAACCTCATGATTTCTTTCCCTAGGTGACGATTTGTTGGCTAATGTTTATTTGTTTGTTTTCAACAGAGTATTGCCTGATTTCTGCCTGAAGCATTTCTTTATTTAATTCCAAAGATCAATCCTTAATATCACTTTTTATTTTTGTTGAATATGTTTTTATTGGAAATTAATGCAAGATTAAGTTCTCTGTGTTTTAGGATATTAGAAGGTGTTAATCACAATCACATCATCCACATAAAGCTAAAGCTGTGATTAGTCAAAGAGGAACAGAGAGAGCAAAAGAAAGAAAGTGAGGACCTTTGGAAAGAGCTCAGAGTTTCTTACTAGAGTCATGTGTTGGTTCCGTAGTATAAGAGCTCCCTCGAGTTCCAGAGAGTAAGGTGACTCCTCTATGAAGGACCCGATAGGCAAAGGGAAACTCAGAACCATATTAGAAATCCCTATTCAGATTCGCCAAAAAGAAACAAGAGAAAAAGCCAGGCATCTTTCAATCATATAATTTTAAAAGCAAAAGTTTCCTTTGTTATAGATTGTTCTTCCTCCATCTCTTTTCTGAAAACATAGTAGCTCTTAATGCACACCATCCTAAAGAGGTCTTATTTCAGTCTAAAGAGGGTCTTTACTTGTAGAAGTTTCTGGATAAATTAATTGTGTAGGGCTGGGCATGGTGATGCTCGCCTGTAATCCCAGCAGTTCGTGAGACTGAGGCAGGAGGATCATAAGTTCAAGGCCAACCTCAGCAACTCAGCAAGGCCCTAAGCAACTTAGCAAGACCTTGTCTCAAAATAAAAAACAAAAAGAGCTGGGGTTGTGGCTCAGTGGTTAAGCACCCCTGGGTTCAATCCCCAGTACAAAAAAAAAAAACAGTTGGGCGGTTTCATTGAAGCCCTTTGAGGGTATCTAACAAGAGGTGGAGGGATCAGAATTATGCTTCCCACTTTTATCTTAGAAAATGGTTGTCCTTACCCGGAGCTACTCTGGCTGCCTCCATGGTTTTTCAACCCTCACAACACATAAACTGGGAAGAAATGGATATTTAAATTCAGTTTCCCACAAAATTCACTTTGGTGATGTTCACAGGTTGGGAGAACCAGCCCTGAATGGAACCTTCTAACTTCCATGGCATTGTTTATTAGATCAGACTGCAGACGGATTTCATAATCACAAGACAGCTCTGCCTATTTTGATTGATTGATTTTTGCATTGCTGAGAATGGAACTTGGGGCCTCACACCTGCTAGGCAAGTGCCCAACCACTGAGCTAGAACCCAGCCCCTCACTAGTTTTTTGTTTTTGTTTTTTTTTATTTAAGCAATCTCCATTTTATTATCTCCTAGTTCTGTAGGTTGGAAGTACAAGCCACCTAAACTGGGTTCTCATAGGGTTTTACTCTACTGCCAACAACTGGAAAAAAAAATGCTCAGCTTTTAAAGAACTCCTGTAGAATACATACATGACTCATGTAACTAGATGACACCCCCCTATGAGCCCTCCAGTGAGGACTCAGTTCTCGCCATAATCTCAGACTCCATCCACACTCCAAGGGGAGGGCATTCACTGTAAGAGTGAGGGCCACTGGGGGTTGTGTTAGTCAGCTCTCCATCACTGTGACCAGAATCACCTGACTGTAACAACTTAGAGGAGGAGAAGTTTTTGGCTCACTGTTTCAGAGGTTTAGTCCATGGTTGGCTGACTCAGTTGCTATAGGCCTGAGGTAAGGCAGAACATCATGACAGAAAGGGCACGGAAGGGGAAGGCTGCTCAGCTTATGGTGGCCCGAAGTCGACAGTCCCTTGCCATCTTTAAACCAAAGAAATGAATGAAAATGTTCTATTGGAATGTAGTTCTGCCTGTGAATGACAAAACGAACTCCAAGGATAATATTCTGAGAAAGCATACTCTAAAATTTCCCTCCTAATTTGATCTGGTAACATAAAATTTTGAAACCTTTGGAGGAGCTGACAAAGAATGCAATTATTAATGAAGTTGAACCCTAGAAACATTAAATCTATTGTGTATATTTTCCAGAGACCTGGAAAGGATAGAAATTCCAAATATAAACACAGGAATATTCCAACCCATGAGGAATCTTTCTCACATGTATGTATGTATGAAAGAATGGACAAGAAAACATAGTGAAATGTTTCACATGTTGTCTTGTCTACTGTCTACTGTATCACTGCAATGTGTTTTTATGCAACAAAAGTCTTTTATTGAGAACTTTTTAATTTTGTCACCTTTGGTCCCTGTCAAATAGAGTTCAATATTATGATGCGCCGACATGAATGACCCTTCTCTCTGGAAACACGATGTTTATCCAATTGAGGCCCAATAAGAGATCAGGGTACCAGAATGCCACATATTACACAAGATGAAGTCACTGGCTAAGTGGTACTCAGGCGACCTGGAAACATTAATTCACTTCACATGAGTGAGCAGTCGGCTGCTCTAAGATTTGAGCCCTTAGGAAGCAAGATGCTATGTAAATTCCAGGTGTTGTTACTGTTACTAAGTGCACTACAAAATGGAGGTAATTAATCTTTCTAGTAGTTTTTGTTAAGTCACTTTAATATATTTGGCTAAAGTGCACTAAGTTGTGTTAATATATGTGTTTATAACATAATCATTTCTTTATCAACTGTATAATCTATATGTTCATGATTTCAAAAATTAACCATTGTTATCCACAAAAATAGGGAGGACTCACTCGTAAGATCACAAGTTGGGTGCAGCAAGTGGATGAAAGTGTTGATGTGAAGGTGCTCTTTTGGGAGAACATTTTGTTTAAGTCTGTGCTACAGTAGAGGCGTGATGGACAGGTGTTTGGCGCATACCCACGTGGTTTTGTTCATTTCTCTTCTTGTGGCACCATTACATAAATATTTAGAGAGGCTATCAGTTCCTTGTTGCAGGCAGAGGTGAGGTGTTCTTAGAATAGAGGTGCTTTAGAATTCAATGGAGAAACTTCTATTTTCAATATAGGCCTCAAGTCAAGGTCAGGAAGGACCCAACCAATATAAGCTTAGCTCGCTCCCTGATGAGTGACGATTTCTTTCATCTTCCCTGTCCTTTCCTCATTGAAATAACTTCACCTCATCGCTTCCACCCCTTCCACCTGCTATCTGGTCACAGTGGAAGAACTTAAAGAAGACAGTGGAGATAATGGAATATCTAGAGAACCAAAAGGTCTAATGTGTGTCAGGGAAAAGAAAAAAATAAATAAAAGTCCTATGTCACGTTTCTTTAATTGGTCACCAAATGTTAGGAAGGTGGACTGTGTCTCTACCTGACACACCCAGCTCTTGATTATCCATCACCCATGTGCTGATCTAGGAAATCTCTGTTGAGTACCTAGAAGGTGCCAGTCACTCTTCTAGATGCTGAGAACACAGTGAGGAACAAGAGAATGTCTGTCCTGGGGCACTTTAGAACCTCAGTGAACAAACAAATAAATAATCAGGTATTAAATGCTAGGAAAAAATAAGTAAAGCAAAACGAAGGAGGCATAGGAAGAGGATTTAGATGACTTAGGTAGAAATCAAAGTGACGTGGCATTTGAGTAGACACGAAGGGAGGGAGGGAGCAATCCTAGCAATGTCCAGGAGAAGAATCTTCCAATCAGAGAGAAGCAATAGCAAGACTCTGTGGAGGGCCTGAGTCTGGCTTGTGTGAGGGCTAGAAGAAGTTATTGTTCTGAGCAGAAGGTGGCTCAGGGCAGCCCAGGGTCCCATCACCAAGGCCATGTCATTGTGGCCAAGGAAAGCTTTGTTTAATTGGCTTGTGTAGAAACTAAAATGGGAGATGAGAAAAGAAAAAAAAAGGGTTAGACTTTAAAAAAAAATTAAAAAGAACAGAGAAATGAACTTACAGAGGTAATAAAAGAAGAAGAAGAAATTAGTTTTATGGGAGAAAATCCTAAACACACAGGTTTGGGGGATGGCCATAAGCCAAATGACCTCACCAATTCCAACACTTCGAGATTCCCCAGCTCATAAATTCAGTGACCACAAACAAATCTGAACAAATCTATATTTTCCTCTAGAAATTAAGTGCTTCCAGACCCTGGTAAGTAATCTGTGTTTAAGGCGGCTGCTTCTCCTCCCCACTCTGGGGAGGCTGAATTTTCCTAGTCTCAGAAACCAACCCTTACCTGCCCGTGTTAGGGAAAAGGAGGCACTTTAAGGAGACCTCACTATTTAATACTAAGGACAAATCAGGGATGTTTTCAGTAAGCTACAGTAGGATTCTTACATCCCCAGCACAAGTCCCTGGATGTCGGCTAGATTTAGCAATGATAATCTACTTCTAATAATACCCAGTGAGAGAATAATCCAATGTGAACACGGAAAAAAGTAGAGCCCCTGAGGCTTCAAATTCCCATAACCCCCCTGGCTCTCAGCCAAGCCACTTCTGAACTTCCATGTCCTTTAGGTTCCTTATCTCTAAGAGGACACTGCCTAGAGTAACACCTTATTTAATGAAGAGCCCTCTAATTAGGTAGTCACTACAAACAAAAGCAAACAAACATAGCGAAGTTGCCTACCTGCAGCTGTAGTTTCTGTATCATTACTATGAAGTGACTCTTTTTTTCCCTTTGACTTTAGTTATTTCAAAAACTTTCGATACTGCTCCTATGCTCCCCATGTCCGAATATGTATGCCCTCGACTGACGGCATTTCTTCATTTGAGGACCTCTTGGCTAACAATATCCTCAGAATATTTGTCTGGGTTATAGCTTTCATTACCTGCTTTGGAAATCTTTCTGTCATTGGCATGAGATCTTTCATTAAAGCTGAAAATACAACTCACGCTATGTCCATCAAAATCCTTTGTTGTAAGTATGTTTCCTATATAAGTAGACAGGGTATCTTCTATGAGCTGTGTGCTAGAGATATATAGTATGTGGCATATGTATTGTATAGAGAGATCTTCAACAAATGACATCTAATATGAACTATATATGGTGGGAAAATTTATTTGCAATATATAAATATAGTTTTTTTGTAGCTATATATGTTTTTTAATATTTTTGTAGTTGTAGATGGACGGCATGCTTTATTTTATTTGTTTATTTTGATGTGGTGCTAAGGATTGAATCCAGTGCCTCACACATGCTAGGCAAGCGCTCTGCCACTGAGCTACAGCCCCAGCCCTGATAGTTATATTATAGTTTGCATAATCTTATAATGACCTACCCTGGGAGTTTATTTCGTGGAAATGGGGAAACAAAGTGATAATTCAAGTGATGGATTATGGAGATGGTTTTGTGGGTTATAAACTAAGCTTAATTAACTTCAATTACAGTAACACCCACACTTCTCAAGCTCAGAAAATGATACCTTTTATTCACTGCCAGTAATACATGCTTAGGGTTTAAACCTAACTCTTCCGCTGCAAAAAGGTCCTACCTCCCCACTTTTTAATTATAAAACAAAGTCATGGTGTGGTTCTTGAGAAATAGCATAGATTTTGAAGTCCATTGGCTTCTTGGTATTCCAGTAGATGATTACACTAGTTCATTTAATACAGGTTGAAGGAGCTAGACAGACCTAACCAGAAAATTAACATGAGAGATGCTGGGAACGATCGGTTGCTTTGATTCGTCCACAGGTGCTGACTGTCTGATGGGCATTTACTTGTTTTTCATTGGCTTTTTTGATATAAAATACCGAGGGCAATATCAGAAGTATGCCCTGCTGTGGATGGAGAGTTTACCGTGCCGCCTCATGGGGTTCCTGGCCATGCTGTCCACCGAAGTCTCTGTCCTGTTGCTAACCTTCTTAACCCTGGAGAAGTTCCTGGTCATCGTCTTCCCCTTCAGTAACATTCGTCCTGGGAAGCGGCAGACCTCGGTCATCCTCATTTGCATCTGGACCGTGGGATTTTTAATTGCTGTAATTCCCTTTTGGAGCGAGGATTACTTTGGAAACTTTTATGGGAAAAATGGAGTATGTTTCCCACTTTATTACGACCAAACAGAAGATATTGGAAGCAGAGGATATTCTCTTGGAATTTTCCTAGGTAAATTCTCTTCTTCATTTCCTGGGTAAACATCATTTCGATACAAATACCACAAACTTCAGCAAAAGGTAGATTTGTCTATTTCAGAAAGTAAAGAAATAGAGTCAAGATTCTGTCCTTGTTAAAGAAAAGTTCTATGTATTTCTAGAAGCTTTTCTTTAACTTTTTATTATAGAGATATAGTGCAGAAAACAAAGGCATGCTATTGGGATTTGTGGATTTCGTTTTTATTATCTCTATATACCTTTGATTTCATGTGTGCATACAGTTACTATGAGCTGGAAGAATTCTAATTTAGTGCCTAGTCCTGAAACCCTACCCAGGTTTATGAACACTTTTTTTTTTTTTAGAGAAGACCCTATACGAATGACAAATTTAGCACCTTAAAGTGTTTTTATTTTAAATTCTATAGTATAATGTGTATTAATTCTGCTTAATCTTAAGGCCATCCCTGGGTCATTTCTTTAATTAGAGCACATGACCATTTTCATTTTCCCTTCCCTTCTTTCTCCTCATCAGCATATAGGCAACAAGTTCTATGGTCCCTTTTTGCCACCAAGTAATATTCATGAAACTGTGCCTCTCACTTAGGGCTCCTTCCAGCCTCAACCTGCTGCTATTGTCTCAGTTTGAAACCTTCTGGCCTCTACCCAGAATAATTACCTTAGCGGATGCTGGTCTTTCCACCTCCAGACCTTCCCCTCCTCCCATTTTTCTGTTCACCACCCCCGTCATAATCTCCCTCCCGTATCCAAAGACTGGTTACACCTCTGCTCAGAGACCTTCAATGGTCCCCTACCACTTTCAAGACCAGGTTTAAAGGAGTCACTTACAACTCATCATGACCTGGCTCTAACCATTGTTCCACCTGGCTCTAACCATTGTTCCCCTTCTTCTCCATCTACTCCTTTTCTTCCTCCTCCAGAAAACAAAATACTCTCTCTGCACCCCTCTGATAATACTCCTCACACACCACCCTGTGTGGTACCTTTTGTTCGTAGATATGTCACTCCCAGGGTAGAGTAGGCTGTTCTCTGTATCCCTCATGACTCGTTTCTTCCTTAATCCTAGGTAGGTGCACTTCATAAACACACACACACACACCCCACATGACATTCATTGAGTCAACAGGATGGATGCAGCACCTGCTGTGGGCTGTGCGTTCTGTTGGGTACTAGAGGTAAAATAGATCTGACCCTTACAAACCTCACCAGCTGCAGAGGAAGATGGAGACAGTAAACACGTCCTTACATCACAGGCTTATAAATGCCATGATGGAAGAGTACAGGATGTTCTAGGAGTCCCAGACCTGAGCACCAGGGAAGGCTTTCCAGTAGAAACGAATCCAAACGGAGGCCCAAAGGATAAGGAGGCATAGCTAAGTGAAGGCAGAGGAAGGTGCGTGTGGGGGCCGTGTGCCAGAAAAAGACACGGTGGATTCCAAGGCCCGAAGCCAGAGGCTGGTCCCGATGTTGGACTAAAGAAGTTTGGTGCAGGGGCTGAGATTGTGGCTCCACGGTAGAACGCTCGCCTAGCACATGCGGGGTGCTCTAGGTCCATCCTCAGCACCACATAAAAATAAATGAATGCAATAAAGGTATTGTGTCCAGCTACAGCTAAAAAATAGATATTAAAAAAAAAAGTTTGGTGAAACTGGATCTTGCAATTAAAGCATCGGGTCCACTAAAAGTGGTTAAGAACCTCTGATGTATTTCAGATACAGAGATAGTAACACAGCACACACACACACACACACACACCATATACTTGTTGCTGTCATACTTATTGTCTGTCACTGCATCACATGCATGGTTTGCATGTGATAGGAGTCCTAGAGCTCGTCCTAGAATACTTTTTTTTTCTGTTTTAACAATATACAATTTTAAAATTAATTTAAGTTTTTTATTTTTTAATAATCTAAAGAACAGTTTTAGATTGAGAGGAAAGTTGTCAGCGTCGTGTAGCTTCCCCTATTGTTCACATCCATCCACTACCACGGTACATTGAGAACACACACTTTTCATTCTTTCTGGAAGTCTGTTCTCAGAATTTGGTCTGGAGGAGCATTTTCTAACCATCATTTTATTTTCTGGCCTAAGATACACCAATTTTATAAAACTCCATTGTTTAGCTGTATAATGAGATTCCACAGAATATGAAGCATTTTGGTTTAAAAAAAATAGCCTTGAACTTAAATTATTTTTCCTAGACTTCACCAGTCTTACATACACTCGAGCTTATTTTGTGAAAACAAAAATAGCTTTTTTACATTTTAGAAAAGCTAGAGTTTACTTCCTAATATATCTAGATGTGAATTTCAGAAGTCTATAATTTTTCATAAAGGATTTATGTCTTAAACATGTTTTAAGCAACTATGAAAATTTGTGCAAATTTTATGTTCATTATGAAGAATGAGATAATCTCTTAGGGTTTTTATTACAGCAAGAATAGAGCAAACTAAGAGACTATAAAGTCTGTGCCTCAGGGAAAGTGAGGCTAAGTGAGAATCTTGGGACTATATTTGGCCCCAAAAGAGTGATTTATATAGTTAAATTTGTAACTTTCTGACTTCATTTTATGAGATGAATCTAAAGGGTTCTGAACCCATAGTCGTTTAAAATACTGTCAGCAATCTAGAGAAAAATAAGCAAAAAAAAAATGCGTTTTTGTTCTATGTATTATTTTTATTTAAGACCAAACAACACAAGGACTAATGTTTCTGAGGCAATTCTATTCATGATAAATTCCAAGGTTATCTTATTCATATGTATAAGATAAGGAAATGGGGTTGTATTTATTTTTTGAGACATGTATATGATTATAGCAATCCCTTTTTTTTTTTTTTTTTTTTTTTTTAATTTTTATTGTGGGTTGTTCAAAACATTACAAATTTCTTGACATATCATATTCCACACTTTGATTCTAGTGGGTTATGAACTCCCACCTTCACCCCATACACAGATTGCAGATTCACATCAGTTACACATCCATTGATTTACAAATTGCCATACTAGTGTCTGTTGTGCTCCGCTGCCTTTCCCATCATCCACCCTCCCCCCTCCCCACCTCTCCCCTCCCCTCCCCTCCTCTCTCTCTACCCCCTCCACTGTATAACCCTGAGGGTCTCCTTCCATTACCGTGCAATTTACCTTCTCTCTCCCTTTCCCTCCCACCTCTCATCCCTGTTAAATGTTAATCTTCTTCTCCTGTTCTTCGTCCCTACTCTGTTCTTAGTTACTTTCCTTATATCAAAGAAGACATTTGGCATTTGTTTTTTAGGGATTGGCTAGCTTCACTTAGCATAATCTGCTCTAATGCCATCCATTTCCCTGTAAATTCTATGATTTTGTCATTTTTTAATGCAGAGTAATACTCCATTGTGTATAAATGCCACATTTTTTTTATCCATTCGTCTATTGAAGGGCATCTAGGTTGGTTCCACAGTCTTGCTATTGTGAACTGTGCTGCTATGAACATCGATGTAGCAGTGTCCCTGTAGCATGCTCTTTTTAGGTCTTTAGGGAATAGACCAAGAAGGGGAATAGCTGGGTCAAATGGTGGCACCATTCCCAGCTTTCCAAGAAATCTCCATACTGCTTTCCAAATTGGCTGCACCAATCTGCAGTCCCACCAGCAATGTACAAGTGTACCCTTTTCCCCACATCCTCGCCAGCACTTGTTGTTGTTTGACTTCCTAATGGCTGCCAATCTTACTGGAGTGAGATGGTATCTTAGGGTGGTTTTGATTTGCATTTCTCTGACAGCTAGAGATGTTGAGCATTTTTTCATGTACTTGTTGATTGACTGTATGTCCTCCTCTGTGAAGTGTCTGTTCAGGTCCTTGGCCCATTTGTTGATTGGGTTGTTTGTTCTCTTATTGTCTAATTTTTTGAGTTCTTTGTATACTCTGGATATTAGGGCTCTATCTGAAGTGTGAGGAGTAAAGATTTGTTCCCAGGATGTAGGCTCCCTATTTACCTCTCTTATTGTTTCTTTTGCTGAGAAAAAACTTCTTAGTTTGAGTAAGTCCCATTTGTTGATTCTAGTTATTAACTTTTGTGCTATGGGTGTCCTATTGAGGAATTTGGAGCCCGACCCCACAGTATGTAGATCGTAGCCAACTTTTTCTTCTATCAGACGGCGCGTCTCTCAAAATATCTTCAAAAAAAATAAAATACTTGGGAATCAACCTAACAAAAGAGGTGAAAGACTTATACAATGAAAACTACAGAACCCTAAAGAGAGAAATAGAAGAAGATCTTAGAAGATGGAAAAATATACCCTGTTCATGGATAGGCAGAACTAACATCATCAAAATGGCGATATTACCAAAAGTTCTCTATAGGTTTAATGCAATGCCAATCAAAATCCCAATGGCATTTCTTGTAGAAATAGAGAAAGCAATCATGAAATTCATATGGAAAAATAAAAGACCCAGAATAGCAAAAACAATGCTAAGCAAGAAGTGTGAATCAGGCGGTATAGCGATACCAGACTTCAAACTATACTACAGAGCAATAGTAACAAAAACAGCATGGTACTGGTACCAAAACAGGCGTGTGGACCAATGGTACAGAATAGAGGACACAGAAACCAATCCACAAAACTACAACTATCTTATATTTGATAAAGGGGCTAAAAGCATGCAATGGAGGAAGGATAGCATCTTCAACAAATGGTGCTGGGAAAACTGGAAATCCATATGCAACAAAATGAAACTGAATCCCTTTGTCTTGCCATGCACAAAAGTGAATTCAAAATGGATATAGCAATCCCTTAAGGTTTGAATTTGCAGGATGTGAGAACAAAAATAGCTTTATTATGTTTTAGAAAAGCCAGAGTTTACTTCCTAATATATCTAGATGTGAATTTCAGAAGTCTATAATTTTTCATAAAGGATTTATGTCTTTGGGCTGGGATTGTGGCTCAGTGATAGAGCGCTTGCCTAGCACATGTAAGGCACTGAATTCGCTCCTCAGCATCACATAAAACAAAGGCATTATGTTCATCTATAACTAAAAATATATTTTTAAAAAATGGATCTATGTCTTTGACATCTTTTTGAGTTGGAAAACCCAATTCCTTTATCTTGTTTTCTTAAACTCAGGAATTTTAACAGAATAACCCTAGGCTGAAACAAAAGAATGCTTCTTGGAAGCACAAGTTTAAGAGGTGCCATAACATCTAAGTTCCCCAGTATTTTACCATTGACTTCTACGCCTGAGATGTTAAGAGATGTGCTTTTCCCCACAGGTGTGAACTTGCTGGCATTTCTCATCATTGTGTTTTCCTACATTACTATGTTCTGTTCCATCCAAAAAACCGCCTTGCAGACAGCAGAAGTGAGGAATCACATCGGAAAAGAGGTGGCTGTTGCAAATCGCTTCTTTTTTATAGTGTTCTCTGATGCCATCTGCTGGATTCCTGTATTTGTCGTTAAAATCCTTTCCCTCCTCAGAGTGGAAATACCAGGTCAGTCAGTTCCTTCTGTCATTCTCAACTACATTCCTTTTTTATGCCCTTTGTTTGATGAGACCAGAATCTAGGACAGTGCCTTACACCTAGTAAATTCTCCATGAACACCTGTGAGCTCCGTATGAAGAGTTATTATTTCCCTTAGTGTTTTGTAACTGGAATGCTGAGATGGAAACTGGGTAGTGGGGTAATTCAGTGAGGAATAATTAAAAAATGGGAGTTATGGAGAAAATAAGTCTGAGCATCTTGCTTGCACATGAGCTAGATAGTGGTTCTTAACCAGGAACATGGGAAACAACAACAATAACAACAATAAAATATACATGGCCAGGTTCCACCCAGAGGTTTTGTTTTTGTTTCTGGAGGCCCAGGCATGTACAGAGGTACTTTGCAAAAGCTCCCCTGTGATTCTGATGTACACACAACTAGATAGAACCACCAGTCTATTGCATGTCCTAGCCACAGAATGTCATTCACACTGGGCTCTGTGGAATGCTAGCTGTACCGTAGAAGTGCCTCATCCAAAAGACCAGGTTCTCAACTGACAGTCTTACTTCAACCAGAGCAAACCATCTTTCGTTAATTAGGATTTTAGCTGAGTACCGCAGCACACGCCTGTAATCCCAGCGGCTCGGGAAGCTAAGGCAGGAGGATTGAAAGTTCAAAGCCAGCCTCAGCAAAAGCAAGGTGCTAAGCAACTCAGTGAGTCTGTCTCTAAATAAAATACAAAATAGAGTTGAGGATGTGGTTCAGTGGCCGAGTGCCCCTGAGTTTAATTCCTAGTACCAAATAATAATAATAAATTAGAATTCTACTTGAAGCCATTTCTGGGATCTAGAGATCACAATCATCTGGAAGCCTCCCAGGGCTCCAGCCTGACTCTTGTTGATTGAAAAACTCATCGTTTCAGTGGATAGCAACCTCTTTCCCTCTGCCTTGTGCACAGTTGTGTGAAACTTTGTCAAATGCCTTGTTGCACCATGGCACAGGATGGCCACAGTGGTCCCTTAACCTAAAGACTTCATCTTCACAAGCAAGCATAGATGTCCCTTGAACTAGGTGAAGTGGGAGTTAAAATCAGAAGGGAGATCAGGAATGAACATTTGGGAGATTTTGCTGGCCTGGGTGTTAAGAGAAGAAGCCAAAAGACTTTGTGTGAGATCACTTGGGCAGAGCTAGTTGTACATGAAGAGGAGAGTTCATTAAATATTAATGGTCACAGAATGTTCTCTTGAATAATGTCCAATCTATGACCACTACCTGGACATCTCAATTTTAGCATCCTATCATTTCAAATTCAGCAGGACTAAACTGTACATTGGCTTCCATTATTCATGAAATAAAATCCAAATGCTGGGATTAGCATTGTAAAGCTTCTTATCTCCCACCCCACCCTCACATTTACTATGATCAGACCCTTTGGAATGATGGGGCTTTTGCTTCTGCACTTTTCTGAAATGACATCAGCCTTTGCTGAACTCTTTCCTCTACCTGGATTGTACTCTCCATCCTTTCTAGCCTTTTAAACACCCCTTCTCCTCTTACAAGACTGAGTGCAAGTACTCCCTCCTCTAAAGTCGCTTTCCAGACCTCTCTCACCCCTTCCATCCAGCCAGAAGCTCAACTGCCCACCACATCTTGTTTGCACTGCACTCTCGCCTTCCTGAGTTGACCCACATCAGCACTGATTTTGAATGGATCCATGGCCCCCTCCAGGTTATAAGCTTCAGAACAAGGGGACCAGGCCTTACTCATCTTTGAAATTTCCAAAGTGCTTTTTACTTAAAATTATTCAATAAATGATAAAGCTTCTGCTGGCCTGTGACCTAGGAAAAATGACCTGTGTCAGGAACACACAAGGCCACCCACAACACGTGAGCTTCCAAGCAGAGCTTCCCTCCTTGATTAGAGAAGCTGAGCTTATCCGAGATGGTGGAAAGGATGGAGACAGAAGATCCAGCTTCCAGTCCTGACCCAGTCATCGATCCATGCAGAGAGCTTAGAAATGTCATCTCACCTAGACGATTTCTCATATTTCTTCCCCTTTTTAATATTCTGTGAATCTTAGTTCCTTGAGGCTTTTTCCTTTTTTATTAGACTACGAGGGCTATCAGAATAAAGTATCACAGAAAATTACTTTCTCACAGTTCAAAAGTGACCACAGATTTTATCACCAAAGGTCCAAGGAGTTCCCAAAGAGGGAAACCTCAACTCAGGACAAATGGGGTCCTTGGCATATGAGATAGAAAAAAATTTTAGCATACACCAGTTAGAGACAGAGACAGATTATTTATGAAAGCAGATACACATTCAAGGGAGAATGCAGGCTATATCAAGATGTCACAGGAGAAGAGATGTCTCCAGAGAAGGGTCCAAGAGGTTCCCAGAAGCAAGGGGGAACTGAACCCAGGACCAATGGGATTCTTGGCACTTGTGGCCAAAAAGAATTTCAGCAGAAACCAGACAAAGTCAAAAACAGAAGTTCATTTAGGAAAGGTAGATATACATCCAAGGCAGAATGCGGGCTACCTCAAGAGTGAGAAGCAGCCCTAACTTGAGCTGAGGGTCCAATATTATAGGAGGGCTGTATCGGGGGCTGGACTGGAGATGGATCCAGGGTGGAGATGCACAATTGCGCACCAGTTTTCCCTGGATTTGTGTATTTCCCTTATTTTATAAAGGGGTGGGCCAAGGGCATGTTGCTCAAGATTTACAACCATGCTTTCACTTCACACATGGCTTCTAGATAGCTCCCAGCATTTCTCTCTTTGTCCTCAAATCCCTATCTCATAAAGAAAGAGATATCCTTTGAGGTAAAGCAAAGAATACACATTCAAGGAGGAATGCTGGACCATCTCCAGAGAGAGAGACCGAAACCTCTTGGTGTGGAGTGTTGATATTTAGAGGCACAACTGGGGCTGCACTAGACATGGAGCCAGGGCAGAGTCACACAGTTTGGCTCCAGTTTTTCCAGAGCTTGTGCACTGCCCCTGTGTTTCTTTTTGCAGGCAAGAACACAGGTCTAGGCCCAGGTCAGGAACACAGACTAAGGACAAGGAGGTGTTGCTTGGGAATACTTGTTTCACGTGTTTCCAAGGTTCATGGGGGTTTCCTGCATTTCAACAGCTCAGGGACACTTTTCTGTAGCCCCAAATTCCTATCGCAGTTTGGTTTTTCTTGGGGCCTCTATCATTGTCGTTCAGATGGAAGTCTTTGCTGTGTCTTCATGTGGCCTTTGCTCGGTGTGGACATCCTGGATATCTCTTCCTGGGTCCTTAATTCCCCTTCCTTTAGAGACATCAGTCAGATTAGAATAGGACCCACCCTAATGACCTCATTTTAACTTACTTCTTGAAAAGCTCTGTCTCCAAATATAGTCACATTCATACATTCTGGGACTTCAACGTGTATATTTGGTGGGGTTGAGGATCAGAATTGGCCCACAGCACTCTCTGATTTAGAATCAGGAGGCCACTGGAGAGCAAAGACATTTGATGGCCGCAGGAATGACCAGCCTCCTGGGAGGGCCTGGGACAGGTTAGATTGTGATCAGCTTAACTACAACCTCCACAAAGGTCCCTCGAACAGGAAAAAATGTCCTGTGGAAACAGGACTGAGCCACACATCAGCTCTCCTTTACATTTATGTTCACTACTTGGAGGTTTATCTGGGACACCTTGGTGGATCTAGGAAAGAAATCCATCACAAAGCCCAAAAGATAAAACCACCTTTAGCCCTCTTGTCCCAGAACTCAGCTGCTGATTTTGAATTAGGAGTCTCCCTGAGACTGAAGAGGAAGCCTCATGCAGAGTGCAAATTACACATGGAAACTTCACGGCCCTTTTGTCTTTGCCTAAATGAAAGTAAGTGCTCTCAAGAATTGTTTCTCCAACAGGTTGGGGTAGGATCACTGTCCGTAATTCCTTTGGTGAGGAACAACAGACAAAAACCAATTGACTTAGCTTTTCTTCATTCATTAACTGTTCAGATCATTTAATTTTTTTAAAAAAATCAACAACAAATAGTAGAAATCTTGAATAAATCTGAGATAGGGTATAGATTTTATTTTCTGATTCTCTGTCCGTTTAAAAAACTAAGAAGAAGGAAGAGAATATAGGATAGGGAAAGAGGGAGGCAAATACAGAAAAGGAGAGAAGAGAGATGAAGAAGAAGGAAAGGAGGGGGAAGGGAGGTCAGGTAAGCAGAGAAAAAAGGCAAAGAAACAGAGGAAGAATTAATATATATAAGAAACAAAGCAAGGTCAAGAGAAGAATAAAATTATAGTGGCCAAAGGATTAGAAAATTGCAGGATTAGAGACAGAGTCAGAGAGTAACAAAGAAGGGAAGTCCCACTGGTCTTACTACCCAGCTTTTCACCCCATCCGGAGGTCTTTGAGCTTTTGACCACGTGGAAGGAGGCAGCATCTTGGTCAGGTGTGAGAATTTGAAGAGGGATGTCCACTGCAGCCAGCTATCAGCAGCCTTCTTATACAGAGAAGGTCGGTGAGGGTCAGAGACCGCAAGGGATTTGTCCAGGGTCAATGAGCTAAGAAGTATTTCTCCAAAGGAGCAGGTTGCCTTTAAAGGGGGGGAAATACATTTCATTCTAACCCAGCAAAGGATATATTGGGGAAGGACACTCTCGCTCCAAATTTCTCCTCACAAAAAGCCTTTTCTGGCCTCTTTCCTGAATATTCTATTAGCAGATGTAAGACTGCACACAAAAGAATTCATCAAACTTGGGGGACACATTCCTCTTTCCTCTTCAAGTCTTCCCACCTCAAAAATAAGATCTCTGGTACCCAAGGGCAGGATAAGAAGCCTTGAGGACCAGATGGATTTACAGCCAAGGTCAAATCTAGCTTCTGGACCTGAAGTTTTCTGACCTTGTTCTGTGGATTATTTCCTCATTTTCTAATTTTCCTATAAGTGAAGTCAATAAAAACAAGAAAAATACATGGCATACCAATTTCTAACTTACAGAGGTTTCAGTTATTTCCTCTTGTTTTGTCCCAAGGATCGACAAGGTAGTTACTAAAACTCAGAAAAGTTAAGTGGGAAGACTTTGAACCTGTAGCTCCTGCATTCTTCCAACAAAGATATTTTTTCTCATTGAAGTAAGAAGAAATTCAAATGTCCTTTGTAACCCTCTCATAAATAACATTGTCTGCAGTGTTATTGTGTTTGTCTGTTTAAAGTCTCACCTTCAGGCTGGGGGTGTTGCTCAGTGGTAGGGCTATTGTCTACCATGTGCAAGGCCCTGGGTTTGATCCCCAGCAACACACACACACACACACACACATACACACACACACACACACACACCCTGACTCTCAATTCGTTTTCATGCTTTGTTTCCTTCTCCAGGCACAATCACCTCCTGGATAGTGATTTTTTTCCTTCCAGTCAACAGCGCCTTGAACCCGATCCTCTACACGCTCACCACCAGTTTCTTTAAGGACAAGTTGAAACAACTGCTGCATAAACATCGGAGGAAATCCATTTTCAAAATTAAAAAAAAAAGTCTATCTACATCCATTGTGTGGACAGACGACTCCTCTTCAGTTAAACTTGGGGTTTTGAACAAAATAACCCTCGGGGACAGTATAATGAAACCAGTTTCCTAGTAATGGCTTTGGATCACTGGACTTTCAAGGGTACCTAAAACAGGTACAGCTTTGGGAAGATAGCGACCGCAATGCTTTTCATCTTGGTCAGTGGCAACCCTTCGGCACAGCGGACACAGTGGAATAAGTGACTTCTGGCCCTGCATTCTGGTGGCAGCTCTACTATGCATGAACTGGGCTGGGAACGGCACTGAAGGACTCTTCTCCTCACCTTACATGCCTGAAACACACAGTGACTCCAGAGAGGGTAGGCTGACATGCCGTTGACCTCTAGCTACTCAGCACCACCAACCTGCCCTCGAATGCCCACATGTAGACACTCTATGTTCTTCATTTTACATTGTTTCACTGTCCTTAAAGTACAGTCACAACATCTTATTCCAGGGTGGCCATGATAACATAAATCTAACATCTCTTTCCTTGCTCTCATAGTATCAAACCAAATTATTAGCATCCTGTGGATGCTTGGACAGCGAAGGATTTCTGAAGATGTTCCACCTACCCCAAGTCTTACCTACAGAGGCTGCTGGAGTAGCAACTTTGAAAGCAGAACTTCATACAAAGTTGCCATGTCTAACAGATCCAGAAAGGCCCATTGATGACCCCTAGTACCATTTGCCTTTTTGGCTTCCATTTAAGCTCAGAAGACCTAAGATACTTTGAAGCAGAGATTAGATTTTTGACTATAGATGCAATGACATTGACTTTGTGTTTCATTTTGCATTTGTATTTAAAAATGAAAAAAAAAAATACCACTAATAATTCAAAAAGAAAGAGCTAAGATCTTAAAAAGGATTTTTTTCCTAAAGTTTCGCTGGGTACAAAGGAAAATTGGGCACACCAACTGCCAACAAGCGTATTTTAGTATTTTTAAAGTATAATTTCTTTAGAGCAGTATTTCTATTGATGGTAACTTCTGCCTTCATAGAACACACAGGCCACAAGTCTTGAAGGAAATTAGAACAGTGGGAACATTTGTTTACTTGGATAAATCCCCTACACACACTTAAAAAAAAAAAAAGATCAGTACAGTTTGGATTTGTTTTTCAAAAATGAAAAATGCTAGTGAAGGCCTGGATATTTTTATACTAAAAGTTTATATGTGGGGAAAAAAAGAGGTAAATAAAAATATATTTTGCATTTGTCCATATATTTTTTAAAGTTTGATGATAACCATGAATAAGGTTTATTGACTGTTAAGCATGTTTCTCCTGATAATGAATATAGCTGGGAAGCGCTGAGTCTCATTAAACAAGACACATCTCACATTTTTTTTAATATATATATATTTACTTTTAGTTGTCAGTGGACCTTTATTTTATTTATTTATATGTAGTGCTGGGAATCAAAAAAACCAGTGCCTCACACATGCTAGGCAAGTGCTCGACCACTGAGCCACAACCCCCAGCCCACATCTTACATTTTAAACCCATTTCTTCACGTTCACTGCATTATGAGTTTCCTTTAAAGAGATGAAACACATGTATCTGACCAGGAATGCCACAGCACCTATATTAGGGTGATGAAGATGCCCTTTTATCCAGTGCCATCCAGGATACAAAGTAACTCAGAGTTTGTGTGTCACAGCCATCCTGGTCATTTACTTCTTTACTTAATATTGACTAATGTCATAATGTGAGTTCTTTCATTTTGATCAAGTCATGTATTTCTTCCAGAGGTGAAATCTTCCCATGAGGTTCTTCGAAATGTCGTTCCTACCCTTTGACTAGGCGGCCCTGTTTTCTTATAGTTTCAAACATTTCTCCCTCTTTTCTCTTCGATATGATGAACTGCTTCATAACTTGCTCTCTGGATTCACTGACATTTTATGCAATGCCCTTCGCCAGTCCTTGATCCCTGTATGGTTTGGATCTTGAATGTCTCCCAGAGGCCCCTCTGTTCACAGCTTGGTCACCAGCCTGTGGCGCTGTTGGGAGGAGGACATGGATCTACTAAAGGAAGGTAGGTCATCCGGGGCGTGCTCTTGAAGGACTATTGGGACTCCAAACCCTTCCTCCCTCTTCCTGACTGCCATGAGGTGAGCAGGTTTTCTCCATCTGTTCACTTCTGCCATGATACACTGTGCCACCCCAGCCCCGGAAGCAGCAGAGACAAGCAGCCATGGACTAAAACCTCTGAAAGTATAAGCCAAAAAAATCTATCTTTCTTTATTGTTTATCTCAGATAATCTTATCACAGTGACAGAAATCTGACTAAGATGATCACCAGATGATTTATTTCCTGACTCATTTCCCAACAGCAGGAGCATAAATAAGGGATTGACCCTAAGCCTGTGGTATTTCAATTTTGGTACAAATATGTATCTCCCATTTTTGAAAAGCACTGTCCACAGCCCATGAACCAAGCCTCTGAGAATGGTCAGTTGTCAACATCAGCTCAGTGTTGTTGGGAAGTTGGCATGAGGAGAAGCAGAAGATCTGAGACTTCAGGGAAATTGGCAGTGACACGGAAAAACAGAAGTGAAGTATTGGTCAACAACTTGCAAGGAATAGCATAATTTGAAATCTCATAGCTTAGTGACTTATAATCTCATTCCACACTGCTGCACAGATGGAAGGCCATTAGAAATGTGTATGATTTTTGCAAATAGTAGTCTTTTATCTGGATTGAATGAAATCTTTTGTGTTAGGTAAAACCTGTTTTCCAAACCTAGTATTTCTATGTGATTATGAAAATACCACCTGAATTCATGAATCATTTTCTATGAAAATACAAACATTACCTCACTATCACCCCAGAATTTAAATGCCATAGACTATGCTACCTCTCAGGGGGCGAGGTTGAAGATACATCACCTGCTCCACATCCCTATGATGTTTCTGTGTGTGACTGACATCATGTCTTGAAAGGAAAATGCTATTCTTAACAGTCAATGTGGAGCCTCAGAAGAGAATCCAGAGAGTATATGAATTATTTATGTTGGAAATAGCTAAGCTTGTTGGTCATTTTCCTTCATTCTTAAGGTTCAATGCTTTTTTGTGTCAAAATGGTTTGTGCCTCCCCATTGTAGTTGCTGAAGTAGCTTCTTGAAGATCAAAAGTTTTAAATGATATTACTCCTGTTTGAGCTTTATATACAGGTAGCAGTACCACCTCCCCCTACCCCCGCCTTCCACCTGAGCACCAGAGCCATGTTTACCTGGACTCACTCCATGGCTTCATGAAGCTGCAATAGCAGACCCCACACCCTCCTAAGGATGGTAATCTCTTAAGGAGGGCTCTGGTGCCAGATCAAGTCCCCATTTGATGACTTGCTTCATATTTGCTCACGTTGAATGTTCAAGAGTTTATCTCACCCCAGATGATTCTTCAATCCACTCTACTATTCCCGAGTAAGTAATTAATGTAGAGCTCCAGAGCGTGCACACAATAGAAATGAGATGTGATAGTGCATCACAAATCACGCGTAGCTAATAACTATAGCTTCCAAAATTAACCAGGAATTCATATGAGGCATATTTCCTTTTAGTTTTCCAATGGAGCACAAATGGGCATATAAAAAGTTGCCTTTTCTTTACTCAAGAAACAAAACATTGAAGATAATTATTTCCATTTTCTTATTCCCTTAATCTGAGAAATAAGAAGTGATTGCAAAGCACACTCTTTATATTTATGTGTTTATAAGCCAGTTGTCTACATTCTTTTGGGGACAAGATAGAATATGCACATTAATAATGATAATGGTAATGTTCCGTCCAGAACCACAAAAATGAAACAAAATTAGACAATTCTTTTCAAATGATTTTCTCAGTGGATGACTTTAAAGTTCTTGAGAAACACTTCCTAAAATCTATAAGCTGACTGAAACCCATTATTCAATATATTTCATTAGAAAAGTCTTCAGGATATTTTCCTACATAACACATATAAAAGGAGTAAATTAAAAATGAAGAAATAGGGAGCCACAGGCCAAGTTATGAAATTGCAGATCTAAGAACAGGGATCTCCCACTGTCTCAACAGTCTGGCTCCAGCCCCCAGTGGCACTTCACAACTCATAACTAGTTTCACTATAAGAAGAAATGATTTCTGTACCACATGGGAACCAATAAGACTTTTAATGGTTTGGCAATAATCTGCACTCATGGTGCTGTGGTGTTGAATTCCATTAATTTTTGCAATGAAAGCCATACCCTTTCCTGTTACAGGCAACACACATTTAAGGCAAGGAAATTCAGGGTCAAAAATCAGGGGATTAGAGACAGTTTCAATTCAACATCAACTACTGCATAACCTCAGACAATATCTTTAAATCTCATCTCTTCTGTAACTGAGTTTCCCTAAAATCATATCATATCACAAAAACAGATGTCTGGTCCCCTTTCTGGTAAAATCAATTCTATTATGTATTTGAAGATAAAACTTCATCTTGAGGGTCCCAGTGTTAAGCACCTAAAAATTAATATCAAGCACCAATATCATTAAATTCCCAACTTCCCAGGGATATTACATGCTTTAATAAAAGCATGTAAAAAAGGCAACTTTTTATATGCTCATTTGTGCTCCATTGGAAAACTAAAAGGAAGAATTAAAACTGGACGTGGTGATGTACAATTATAATCCCAGCAACTCTGGAGGCTGAGGCAGGAGGATCTCAAGTTTGATGTCAAAATGGGCAACTTAGCCCCCATCTCAAAAATTTCAAAAGAAGGAAGAATCAATGCACAAGGCACAAGTGTTCTGAAATCCACTTCTTCCAACAGGGGCACTTTTCTGCCGTGTAAAGAATATTGAACATCTCGGACAGTAAGGTTTTTCGATAGCAGGTCAGTCACAACTTAAAAATTAGATGACCTATTGCCAGCAATAGGCATGGAGTAATCAGGATGATTAACAAGCAACCATTTTTTTTCCTTTTTTTTAATTTGTTCTAATTAGTTATACATGACAGAATGATTTCAATTCATTGTACACAAATGTAGCACAGTTTTTTATTTCTCTGGTTATATACAAGATAGAGTCACACCATATGTGCAGTCATACATGTACCTAGGGTAATGATGTCCATCTTATTCCACCATCTTTCCTCCCCACTTTCCCCCTCCTTTCCCTCCTCTTTGCCCAATAAAAGTTCCTCCATTCTTCCCATGCTGCCCCCCCCCCAATTATGGATCAGCATCCATTTATCAAAGAGAACATTTAGCCTTTGGTTTTGGGGGATTGGCTTACTTCACTTAGTATGATATTCTTCATCTCCATCCATTAATCTGCAAATGCCATAACTTTATTCTTTTTTAATGAACAAGCAATCATTTTAACCTGAACTCATAAACTGGTCTCCTCACATAAGCGTACAGTAGGTCTGCTGCTTACATTCTCCTCTAACATAGCCATAAGTGCACAGGCATGTCCACCACTTACGACTGGGTATTTTCTTGGGGAAAGGGTTGTAGGATTAAAAAAACAAAAATCTGATTTCCCCATGGAACCATGAGTGAACACGTGGTTCTTGCCCAGGAGGGCTCTGCTCCTCAGCGCTGTGGCATCAGCTGTGTACTCTCTCTTCCGTGTCTCTCTACCAGCGACTTCTCTGCAGCTCACAATGCTCACATTTCTCATACCTATAAAAGGCCCACCTCTCATCCTGTCCCTTCCTTGATTTTCTTAGTCTTGCCTTCTCTTTATAGCTAAACATCTTCAAAGCATGGTAAACCCTCTGTTGTCATCATCTCATCTTGCTTTGACTTCCCAACCAACTAACCCTTGTGGCTTCCACACACTCTACTCCACTGACCTCCCCTCCTTGAGGTCGCCATGATACCAACCTAATGGGCATGTTCCTTTCTTTCACTACATCACATTTCTAAAGAATTTGTGACAATAACCGCTGAGGCCTTCTTTAAACTCTTCTTTTGAAATGAAGGACATAATTCATTCCTGTTCTAAACTACTTCTGGTTCTTTCTTCTCACGTCTTTATGAACACCTTCTTTGCCTTTTTGTCCCTCAAACTTCTGTATAAATTTTCGGATTTTTATCCGTGGCTTCCTGACCTTTGCCTTCTATGGATGTCTCCCAGATTCCAACCTCCCTGTGGTTGTCACAAAGGAAGTAAATTAATTTTTAAAACTCTCTTAAAGAACATAAATAAAAATAGAAGGAGAAAAATAATACAAGGGGGAGAAATGAATGACAGTAGAGGGGGTAGAGAGAGAAGAGGGGAGGGGAGGGGAGGGGGGATAGTAGAGGATAGGAAAGGCAGCAGAATACAACAGACACTAGTATGGCAATATGTAAATCAATGGATGTGTAACTGATGTGATTCTGCAATCTGTATACGAGGTAAAAATGGGAGTTCATAACCCACTTGAATCAAAGTGTGAAATATGATATATCAAGAACTATGTAATGTTTTGAACAACCAACAATAAAAAATTTAAAAAAAAATAGAAGGAGCTGATTTTCACTATTCATATTAATCTTAACATTTTTTAATCCTATCAACCAAGTACATGGCAATTTTTTCCATAGCTTTATTGAGGTAAAATTAAAATACAATAAAATGCACATATTTAAGGTATGCAATTTGATCAGATTTGAGATGTATGTTACCAATACAATAAATAGAAAAAGCATTTCTATTACTTTTTTATTTGTAATCATGCAGACTGTTTCCTCTGTGATTTATTACATTAGAAATCAATCACCTTAAGATATATAGACCTCCACCCCCTCTTGTCAACTATTTCAAAATTAAATGGCACACTTAGAAATATCTCAGAGGTCAAGGAAGAAAGCACAAGAAAAGAAAAGAAAAAGTGCCTTGAACTAATTGATAATAAAATATCAGGATCTCTGGGATGAAACAGTACTCAGATGAACATATTTAACTTAAAGTATTGGTATCAGAAAGTAGCTAGAATAATAATCAAATTATTTTCAAATTATATAGTAGGAAAGACAAAATAAGAGTAGAAGCAGAAATATATGAAATAGAGAAGAAATAGTACAGCTAAAATTTGATAAAAATCAAGTAAGTCTAATCAAGAAAAAAGCAAGAACACAAAAATTAATATCAATGGAAAGGGAGCTATCAAAACAATCCTACAGATGCTTAAAATATATTAAGATAATATTACAATTGTATGCCAACATATGTGATAGCTTACATAACATGGTCTATTTTAGAGAAGGATCCATGTGCTGCTGAGAAGAAAGTGTATTCAGTCATTGATGGATGAAATATTCTATATATGTCTGCTAAGTCTAAATTATCAATTGTATTTTTTATTTCTATACTTTCTTTGTTTAGTTTTTGTTTGGAGAATCTATCCAGTTGAGACAGAGGCATGTTAAACTTACTCAGTACTATTGTGTTGTAGCCTATTTGAGTCTTGA